CCTTCTCCTCCTCCTCCTCTTCTTCCTCCTCCTCTTTTTCCTCCTCTTCCTCTCTTCTTCTTCTTCCTCCTCTTTCTCCTCTTCCTCCTCCTCCTCTTCTGCCTCTGCTTCTTCTATTTTAAATGATAGTTCTTTCCTGCCTCCACGGGGTGCGATTCTGTATGGCCTTGGACTTTGTCCTTTCCTGTGTGACAGTGAACGTGGTCCTGAGGCCTGTCGTAAGCAAAATGACCACCATCCTGGCCTCCTCAATAGGACAGAGAGGTAATGAATGAGTCGGGAGAAGCGGTTCATTGTTTTTTTTCTTCATTCTGTGGTCAACAAGATTCGTCCCTACTCTCCCATCTCCACCATGAGACCAGTGATGAGCACGGCCCTTCCCCGACTTCCGTCTGTGCATGAGAAGCTGCCTGTTATGCAGCACCGGCTGGTTAGCTCAAGAGGTTCACTGAAAGTCCTGTCCTGCAGGCGCCGGTGGCTCATGGCTGTCATCCTAGCTACTCAGGAGGCTAAGATTGGAAGATCACAGTTCAAAGCCAGCCCAAGCAAGAAATTCTGTGAGATTCTTTCTCTCTGATGAACCAGCAAAAAGCTGGATGTGGAGATGTGGTTCAAGTGGTAACCAGACTTGAGCAGAAAAGTGAGAGAATGATGCCCTGAGCTCGAGCCCCGGTACCAGCACATGTGTGCATATGCATGCATACAAATGCACGTGTGCATGCACATGCACACGCACACATACACAATACTGGTAGGTTCAGAGTCTCCATGACTTATCTTAGCCCCAGCGCTCAGAATGTCTTCCTGCTCACTCCTGGTCTACAACATGTCCTACTTGGCCGGCTGCCACAGGCTTCGTGAGGAATCAGGTGTTGTTTAGTCTAGGATCAAGGAGGGCGGCATCCAGCCCTACCCCTACCACACGCCCTTCCCAGGAGTCGACTTCACACGGTTGCCATAAGGCCAGATTCGATGTCTGCAAACATCTTTCATTGCCAGGATTATGTGAGCACGTAATCTTTAGCCAATATCTCTCTCTGTCTCTCTGTCTCTCTGCCTCAGTCTCAGTCTCTGTCTCTGTCTCTCTCTCTCACACACACACACACACATACACAAATACACATTTTACTTTACTTTGGATCCAATGGTTTCTAATTATCTCCCTTTCTTCCTTGTTCCCTCCCCCCCCCCCCCCCCCCGCCACCCCCCGCCCCGTCCTTAAGTCTGTTTTCTCTCCGTCGCATACATGCTCCATTTCTGGCCGGTTGGGTCTGCCCATGCCACTTCTTACAATAACCAGGTGGAGATGTGCCACCCACAATTCCTTGCTTAGTTTTGTTTTCTTTTGTGTTTTAAAAGATTTCCAGGTCAGGCGTTGGTGGCTCACGCCTATAATCCTAGCTACTCAGGAGGCTAAGAGCTGAGGACCACAGTTCAAAGCCAACTCAGGCAGGAAAGTCCAGGAGACTCTTATCTCCAATGAACCAGCAAAAAGCCAGAAGTGGTGCTGTGGCTCAAGCGATATAGCACTTGACTTGAGCTGAAGAGCTGAGGGACAGTGCCCAGGCCCAGAGTTCAAGCTCCACAACCAAAAAAAAAAAAAAAGATTTCCGTAGCAGGGAACTGGCAGCCCATGCCTATCCGCCTAGCTACTTGGGAGGCTGAGCTCTGTGGAACATGATGTGAGGCCAGCCAGCCCCAGCAGACAAGTCCATGAGACTCATCTCTGATGAGTCAGCAAAAAGCCAGAAGTGGAGCTGTGGCTCAAGGGATAGAATGGAAAAAGCTAAGCAAGAGTAAGGCCCCGAGTTCAATTCTCTGTCATGGAGAAAAACATATCCTTTCATGATGACATTACATGTGTAGGTTTTGTCTTCACTGAGTAAAACATACACATCTTAAGCACTAAACTCAAGGGGTTTTGACGTAAGCTACACACGTGTATAATGATGGTGCATGTAAGACACGGATGTTTCTGTCAGTCAATGCCCCACGAAGGTGACAACTTTCCTATATCCATCACCACAAATTAGTTTTGTTATTGTTTTGAATTTTATATAAATGAAATCATATAGTATGTGCTCTTATGTCTCTTCACTCGATGTATTTATACTGCAAGTATAATAATTTATATTGCTTATGTTAGCATGGTTTATTGCTTAAGTTAATAGTGATATTAATACAGGCATATGAATATAGTTCAATTATTGCTTATATTAATATAGTAATTTACTCTTTTATATTGCTAGGGAAGACATGAGTATGTGTGTGTGTGTGTGTGTGTGTATGTATGTGTGTGGTTTTGTTGTTCAAGGCTGGCTCTTTCTATTTGAGCCACACCTCCAATTTCAGCTTTTTGCCAGTTGATTGGAAATTAGCATCTCTTGTTTCAAATGGCGTTCCTCGCACCTGGGCCTCCTGAGTAACTAGGATTACAAGGGTGGGCCACCAGCACTCAGTTCTTTTTTAAAAAGGGTCTCACTATGTTGGCTAGGCTGGTCTTGAACTGCTGGCCTGAGGATGTCTCCTGCATCAGCCTCCTGAGATACTAGAACTACAAATGTGCACCACACACCCAGCTTGGAAAGACTCTTTAGATAAGACTTTTATGGGCATCTTCATCGGGTTAGGCATAAGATAAAGGCACCTTACGGCATGATTGCGAAGTCTTGTCTCGCCTGTGTCCTCTTTAAGACGTGCTCTTTTATATTACTTTACAATACCCAGGTTTGCTGTTGTATGTACATACCAAATGAACAAACATTTGGCCGGGCAACAGATGGTCTTGGGGCTGGTTCAATGTGGGTGAATAGAGCACCCCAAGATCCTCTTCCTTTGAAGAGCCCCAGGAACAGATAGGTAGACACAGGCTGTTCAACTGACGACTTCTTTAGGGCAGGTACGCTGAAAGTACAGTGGTTGAAAAGGAATCCACACGGGTGCTGGTGGTCTTGCCTGTCATCCTAGCTGCTCAGGAGGCTGAGATCTGAAGATCAAGATTTGAAGCCAGCTCAGGCAAAAAAAAAAAAAAAAGGCCCTGCAAGACTCCAATTAATCAGCAAAAAGCTGGAAGTGCAGGTATGGATTGAGTGATAAAGCAGCAGTCCTGAGACAAAAAGCCAAGCTGAGCTCAAACTCCAGTACACACACACACAAAACTTTATCCCTGGTTGTTAAAATGAGTCGGGATTTCTTCCCTATACAGCCAATCCATTCCCCAGCAGCCATTCTCCAAGTCAGTTCATCTGCTTCAATTCTGTTCTGGTGCCGCCTAGACACAGCCCCAGGTTCCCACAAACTGAGGACAGTCCCAGGAGCTGCTCAGTGGTCACAGGCTCGGCTGCATAGGCTGCCACTGGTGCCTTTGGCTCATACCAACCCATGGGTTTCATTCATTTGCTGCACAAGATCACAGAAGTCATTTTGCTGTGTTCATTGTATGTGTGTACGAGCACGTGCATGGGCGCATGAGCCAGTACTAGGATTTGAACTCAGGGCCTGTAGCTGTCCCGCATTCAAGGCTGGTGCTTGCACATTTGAGCCACAGCTCCACTTCTGGCATTGTGTTGGTTCCTTGGAGATAAAAGTCTCACAGATGCTCCTGCCCAGGCTGGCTTTGAGCCTTGATCCTCAGATCTCAGCCTCCTGAGCGGCTAGGATTACAGGTGTGAGCCACCTGTATCAGGCCTATAAAGAATTTTGACTTCCACACCAGATCATCCTGTGTACCTCAGGCAGGCCTGGGGCTCTCTATGCTTCTGCCTTAACATCCCAAGTGCTGAAATTACACGTAGGCCAACATACCCTGATACTGAGGATTTTTTAATGAGTTGGAATTAATGAGGACCACAGGCACTGTGTAATAGACACAGCTTCACAGGACAGCCTTAGAGGCAGCTTTTCTAATCCTACATCTTCTGTCCATTAAAATCCATCGTTTGAAGACTCTGCTGGGACAAATCTGGGTTTACCCCAGGACGCTGCTGAGACCCGAAGGGAGGGTGGACTGTCACTTAGTGGACCTCCCCACCCCCTCTCTAAAGTGCATGCAGATGGGCGGAGGAGAGGGCAGGGACTGAGCAGTAGTGCTTTGGCTGGAGGGACAGGGCGAGCCCTATGCAGATGAGACGGGCCGCGGGGAGCTGCTGGCCGGACCCCTATCGAACCCACTCGTGGATTTCTGGTGTGGAAGGAGAGCGCGCGGGAGCGCGGCTGGGAGCGGAGGGTTTCAGCTGCTCCAAGGGGCTGGGCGAGGGATGGGTGGAAGGCTGGTGACCTTGTGTGAACAATGGAAGGCGTGTGAGGTTTAAGATGGGGTCTGGGAGGCTGGTGTAACTGTTTACCGGGCAGGAGATACCCTCCAGTCAGGCAAGTGGTCTTTCCTGTCGCCAGACCTGGGGAGTGGAGCCTCAGCTGGGATGATGCTGGGGGGCCCCGGGTGGGGTGTGCCCCGCGGATAACTCTGCTCTTTCCCCACAGGTTTTTCTGTGTGCTTTTTCGCTCCTTGGTACGAGGGGCCATTTGTACCTTGATTTTCTGTTGTGCAGCTTTTTAATAGCCTTGGAACCTGGCCCCGGTGGCCCGGAGCGAGGTAGTCAAGGCCGGGGCCCCGAGTCGGGGACCAGCGGAGGCCCAGGCAGGTCCTGAATTGGATCCCCTCATCCTGGGGGCTGGTGTGGCCCAGGAAGCCCGGCTCCTCGCGCGTGGGCCGGCCCTCGCCGCCGACGCTGGCTCTGCAGGCTGGGCCGCAGGTCCTCAGCCCCAGGCCGTTCCTGCTGGCGCCCGGGGTGGTGGGGGGGAACTGCGGGGCCTCCTCGGGGGAGGGCTCCGCGTTCCCAGGGCCAGTGCGTGTGCGCACGCGGGGGAGGGGAAGCGTGTGCACGGGTTCCCGACCGCAACGCTCCCCTATTGGCGGATCTGAACGCGCGGGAAAGATATCTCCGTGCACTTTGAAGAGCGAGGGTGGCCGGGCCGCCGCGTGCTTCGCCGCGGGGGGTCGCTCAGGGCGAGAAGCACTGCATGATCGCCTGCTGGGACAGCGCCACCAGCACGGTGACGGCGAAGAGCACGAGGCGCAGCAGCAGGAGCAGCGCGGCCTGGACGTTGGAGGGCACGGCCGCCTCCGTGGGGCCCGGCGGCCCGCTGTCCACGCTGCCTCCGAAGCCCCGCTCCTCGCAGAAGGGCGGCGCCCAGCCGTAGACGCAGTGGCAGTGCCGGGCGGAGTTGCACACCCCACGGCCGTTGCAGGCGCAGCCCGCCAGGGCCGTGCGGTTGACGCAGGTCCTCCCCACGCACACGCGCCGGTCTCCGCAGTGGGCGCCGTCGGGGACCGCGCCGGCGTCCGGGATGCCCAGGGGCCGCATGGCCAGGTGGTAGCCGGTGCCCCAGCACACCAGGTTGTCGTCCCGCAGGCGCGTGGCGATGACCAGCGTGTGCTCCGGCAGGACGGGCACGCCGCCCACCCCGACGCACTGCAGCCGGCCGCACACGGCGTCCGCCCGGGGGCACGCCCGGTAGCTGGCCACGCCGCGGATCTCGCAGTTCCCGTACTGGTCGCCGACCACGTTGACCGCCTCGTAGCAGCGCCGGGGCGCGTCCCGGGCGCCGGGCCCGAAGAGGCTCTGGCACTGCATGTACCGGGAGCGGCAGGCCTTGCCGAAGCACTGGCCCCCGTGGTGGCACGGCGTCCCGTCCAGCTTGTAGGTGTCGGCGGGGCAGCGCGGCGAGGCGCCGTCGCAGTACTCGGGCAGGTCGCACTCGCTCTCCTCCTCGCGGCACAGGTGTCCGGCGGGCCGCAGGCGGCAGCGGCGGCAGCACAGCCCCGAGCTGCAGGCGGCGCCGGGCGCCAGGCGGCAGCTGGGCTGGCAGCAGGGGTCGCGCTGGCACTCGCCCGCCGACCCGCAGTCGCACTGCTCCCAGCCCTCCACCACCTTGTTGCCGCAGCGCGGCCCGGGCGGCGCGGGGGAGGCGGCGACGGGCCTGGGCGCGGCCGTGAGGCACGCGGCCCCCCGCGACACGAACGCCAGGTAGTCGCCGTAGCTGCAGTCGCTGAAGCCGGCGCGGCCCGCGCCCATCACGCAGCCGCCGTCGCCGCCCCGGCATCGACAGGGTGCCCGGTCGTGGGCCATGCCCACCGCGTGGCCCAGCGCATGCGCCGTCCACGTGGCGGCCGTCAGCACGTCGGCATCGGCGAGCGTGCTGACAGAGCCGGCCCGCGGGCCCCCGCACACCCGGCCCCACGACCAGGCGCGCGCGTCGGCGTACGCGCGGCTCACGTACAGGTGCGCCCAGTCGCCCGGGAGCCGCCGCTGCAGCGAGGTGGCCCGGTACAGCAGGAACCGGCCCAGCACATCGGCCAGGGAGCCCGGCCCCACGTCGATGCGGTTCCGCCCCGACCACAGCTCGAGGCCCGCCAGCCGCACCCGCAGGCCGACGTCTTGGAAGTAGGTGTCCACGATGGCGGTCAGCAGCGCCGCGTCCGTCACCACGCGGGAGAGGTTGCCGTGCGCCAGGCCCAGGCGGTCCCGGTCGAACACCAGCACCAGGTCCAGGGACCGCGGGTGCTTGTAGGCGGCGAAGTAGTCCCCAGGCGCGCCGCGCGGGGGCGCTGGCGGCGGGGCGCCCGCCCTGCCCGGGCCGCCCGGCAAGCCGCAGCCCCGCGGGTCCGCAGCGACCCGCCGCAGGCGGCGCACCACGTGCTCGGGGCCGGCGCCGCCCAGCGGCTGGATCTGGTAGTGGTCGGACCCCAGGCGGACGACGCCGCGCAGGCCGCCCGCGCACGTGCTCACGGTGGCCCCCGAGTCCAGCGCGCCGTCCACCGAGCCCGCCAGGTGGCAGTCGCCGGGCAGGGACGCGTAATCCTCCACCGGTTCCCCGCTCTCCGCGAAGTGCACCACGGGCAGGAGCCTGGGCAGCGGCGGCCGCCGGGGCCGCAAGAGGAGGACGCACTCCCGGCCTCCCAGCCGCAGGGCATAGGCCGCGGGAGGCCCCGCCGCGCCGCCCGGCCGCCGCGCCTCCACTGGATCCGGGACCGGGACGGGCACCGTGATCTCGGCGGACTCGAAGCCCCCGTCCGGGCGGATGAGCGCGTCCTCGCCCAGCGCGGCGGGGAGCAGCAGCGCCAGGCCCAGCACCACCGGCCAGGGCCGTCGCGCCGCGCCCATCGCCGACCCTCCGCGGCCCGGGGAGCGCCGGGGGATCCGGGGCGGCTCCGGCCCGAGCGTCAGACTCCCGCGGGCGGCCGCCCAGGGCTCAGGCCGCACGGTTGGGGGATCCCCCTTCCTCCCGACGCCAGGGCCAGCGACGACCAAGGGCTGCGCGCACTCGATCAACGCTCCGACGTTGAGCGCGCGGGCGTGGAGCGGGGACCCCCACATGGCAGCGCGCACCCCGAAGCGCGGCTGGCTGGGGCTGGGCGGCCCACGGGGAATCCTAGCCACCAGCGAGGCAGTGGTGAGAGGATCGTGGTTCGGAGCCATGGATAGGTAAATCCCTGAGACTCCGATCCCCAGTGAAGCACCAGAAAGATCCGGAGGTGGAGGTGTGGTTCAGGTGGTAGAGCACCAGCCTTGGGTAGAAAAAGTCTGTGTGTACCAGCACACACAGAAATGGAAGGGGAGGGGAGGAGGAAGGAGGAGGGGAGAAGGAAGGAGAAGGAGGGGAGGGAGGACAAGGAGGAAGGGAAGAAAAAATGAGTATCCTCAGGGTGAGAAAATCAACTATTTTATCAAATAGTTTGAGGAGCATTGCGTGTGCGAGCTGGTACTACTGGGCTTGAACCCAAGGCTTTGCGCTCCTGCTTGGCTTTTTCATTCAAGGCCAGTCCAGTTTTTTGCTGTTCATTGGAGATAAGAGTCTCCCAGCTTTTGCTGCCTGGGCTGGCTTCATCGACCATGCTCAGATCTCAGCCTCCGAGGGGCTGGTGTCACAGGCTTGAGCCACAGTGCCCAGCTGGTATTAATTCAAAGGCCTGGTAGGATCGAGCAGTGAATCCCTATCCCCATCTCGGTTGGGTGTCTATGACTGCCTCAGCCTCCTTGCTCCCATAGGTCTGGATTACAGGATTGTGAGGGAAAAAAATCCAATACCACCAAGTTGGACTTGTAATCTTTTTTTATTTTGTGATAAAAATGTTTTCATATAAATTTTACCTTAACTACTTTTAGCATGAACCCGAAAAGTAAAAACAAAAGTGTGCACTTTCCTTACTGTCTAGTCAGGAATATGCGGTCATTTTATTGGTTACTGGTTTCTCATACAAACAGATATAGTATCGCTTTTAAGAAAAATATACACAAAGAAGTTGCCATAGTACCAAACAGTTATTGGTGGGGACCCAAGGAGGTGAACGCACATCCCCCAGAAGTTGACATACATTCAACGCTGGCCGAGGCCAGGCACCCGGCCATGGGCCAACACGACATGCACCTTTGGTTCTTTCATGAGGACTTAGGAGCTGGCAAATTAAACCAGAAGAACAAATGGACTTCATGTCCTAACTGCTTTTGCTAAAATCTTTAACTCTCAGTCCCTCTTTCCCTCAGACTTCCCCTCCCCCACTGTCATGTAAGTCAGAAAATGATGCTTGAAACAAGACGGAAGGAAGAATCCAGACCAGGACGTCAGAGAATGAAATAATATATGAAAATAACAATAAACCAAAAACTGGGAGCATCTGTGCATGACATAGAAGATGTATCCTACTGGAGCGGGAATGTGATTACCAGTGACTATTGTTAAGTCCATGAGACTAGTACAGTGAGAGGAAGTGCCATGGTTGTCACCAGGGTCTGCTGGTCCTACTGGCGGTGTTCACGTTCCCTTCCCCAAACCCACAAGACCCCAATTAAAGTGTTCCCAGAGGGAGAAACAGCATGAGGCCTACATGGAGTCTGGGCAGGGAGCCTAAGGCAGTGATGGGCAGAGGGGCAGAAGTGATGTGCTCCACACTTCTCCCATCTGTAACTATCAGGGGGGCCCAAAGGCAGAGAGGCACTGTTCAGAATGCACACACATACACCGCGGAAGGGGCTGGCAAGATGGTATCACAGGAGGGAACGAAAAACGTTAAAAGCAAACTTAATCTGTCATATATCCTGGCAGAACAAATTATCCAATAAACCTGGAGGAGACAGGAATACTCCAGCAGCCCTGCTTACCAATGACTGTACACCAGACTGCAGACCTTCCACAGGGCAGGCGAGCAGGCAGACAAGTGAGGCAAGCAGGGGAGCTGGAACACCCACTTAACCAGAACGGAGCAGCCCGTCCTTGTGTTGCACACAAAATGTCCCAGGTGCCCTGAGCACCCCGGTACCAGGCAGAAATGAGTGTGGCCCCAGGACCACTGAGGCAGCAAAGGGGAAGAGGAAGATGCTGCTGCTTTGGGGAGAATCGGGGGTCACAAGCCCTGGAACAATGGTGCTGGGCACAGCTGGCATCACCCATCCTCTAAATGACAACTCTAGGAAAGGCCTCGGCAGGTTCGAGATAAGCCAACAAAGGTAGAACAGCAGACTGTTCTGGAGGGAGGGGACGGGAGGAAGAACTAGCAAAGGCTGACTCACAGTGTACCCTAGGAAATCACTCCAACGCCCCATTTCTGGTGCTTGATCAGAACATCGGTCTTCAGGGGGCACTGTAACTCAGCTCAGTGTGGAGAGAAACTGGCAAAGGGGCTTCTGATCTAAAAGGCCTTCAGGAAAGAGGGCTGGGGGGGGGGGGGGGGGTGGATCTGGCTCCAAGTAGTGGAGTGCTTGCCTAGCAAGCCCAAAGTGCTGAGTTCCAATCCTAGTATTGCCCTTTCTCTCTCTCTCTCTCCCCCTCACACACACACACACACACACACACACACGAAATAAACACTGATAGAAAGTGACAATCAGAGGATCCCTTGAACCCAGGCTAGCACGGTCCCACAATCTGGTATGGCGAGATTTTCTTCGGTGGAGACACATGGAAGGTTAGAAAGCGAGGACTAGTGCCACCTCCTGGAAGAACAGGGAAGCAGGGCTAGAATCCTAGGATTGGGGACCCATGTCCTTTACACTGGCAGGCAATGGAATGTTTGACTGGAGTGGAGCCTGCTTCCAGCCTGAGTTGGCTTATCTCCCCGCACTCCAACATTGCACTCCTTTTGCTGGTTGTTTTTTTTTTCTTAAAAAGGAGTAAGATCATCGTGTCTAGACAGTTGGGGTGACACTTCACATTGACGAAGCCCACACACTTACACAGCTGATGGGAAGAGAATGAGGGTGCATTCTCTTACAGGGCTCTCCTGTCCCCAGATTGGTCTGAAGAAAAATGTTCCCCTTCTCTAGGAGTGACATGTCAAGTGCAACACGTCAGACTTCTACAGAAACATAGCTGCGAGGCCGGTGCTGAGAACCTAAGGGAAGCAAGCCTCGTGGCCGGGCTTTCCAGAGCAGCCGGGGCTGGAAAGCGCAAGGATCATTCGTCCCAGCGTTCACTGGTACCCAGAGAAAAACACAGGGTGAAGCAGAAAGGATTTCCAAGGTCGAGGAGGCGAGCCAGTGGCACAGTTCCAGCGCGCATTTTCCAATCGGACCCTTGTGTAGAATCTTCTCGCATAGAGCAGAAGCCCTCCCTAGGGCTTAAAATGCAGTCCGAGCTGCAAGCATGTCTGGGCTACAAAAGGCATCCATCTTGTTCTAGGACAGGAAGAGAGGCACATGGCCCCCGAGTGCGTGTTCCCTGCGCGTCCCGGGCCTTGGTCTGCTGGGCAAGGGCCGGGGAGGAGCCAGGCCCTCCCCACGGGCCTCGCAGGGACCCAGCGGAGCTGAGCGGCTGTGAGCCAGAAGCATCTCCTCTCTCGCCTCCCAAAGCTGGTTACTAAGATTTCTTCATCTTCTTCCCGATGACCTTCATTTGTTCCTCAGCAGCGTTTTGGAGCAGCGGCTGTCTGCACGGACGCTTGCTCTTCAGGCGTACACCTGCATCTTGCTGTGTGGCGGCTCGGCCATGTGTGTCCCAGTTCCGCGCTGCACGCCTGCAGCCCCGCCGGGAGTGGGGCTGGTGGTCACATCTGACCAGTCGGAAGCAGAGTGGGGCGAGGAGCTTGACCACTGGTCCGGCGACTCTGGGGATGGAGTCAGGTAGGGGTGCTCGCCCGGCAGGGGGCCACTGTGGCTGGGGGTTCGCTCGGCAGCACTGGAGGAGGCGTAGCTGTGCTGGGAGGGAGGGGTGGGGTACTTGCCCACGGAGGCGGGGAAGGGGTGGTAGGCGGGGAGAATGGTGTGCGCGCCCTGCCCGTCCTGCTGGGGCATCATGGCGGCGGGGAACGCCACGCTGGGCAGCCGGGCCATCTCTGGGATCTGATACATGGCGGGCAAGGGCCCGGCCACCGAGGGAGGGCAGGCGGCGGGGGGCGGGGGCGCCCCGGCCGGCTGGGCCAGGCCGCCTTTGGGGATGAGCTGGAAAGTCACGATGGGGGGCAGGGGCTCCCGCGGGGGGCCCGGCTTGCCCTCCGGCGGCCTGCTCTGGGGCGCCATGCCATGGCCGCCCTCCCCGGGAGCCAGGACCATGCCGAACATCTCATTGTACTGGCCCTCGCTGGTCTCCACGCGGTTCATCCAGTCGGCCGGGACGGTGACTGGGTGCAGCCGGCCCAGGCCGCCCGCGCCGCCGCCGCCCCCCGCCGCCGCTGGGGGGGATGATGTGGTGGTGGGCCAGCAGCTGGCTGACCGAGGGGAGCACCGTGCCAGCCCCGGGGGCCACGGGCTGCATGTCGTGGAGGTTAGAGAAGGAGAGCGCGTGCTGCGCGCGGGCGGGGGCGGCCGGCGTGGCCAGCAGAGGGTTGGGGGAGGCCTGCAGGAGCCCCGGGGACGTGAGCATCGGGGAGGAGGTGGCATCAGACACGTAGGTGTGAGGCGACTCCAGGGAGTCCACTGGGGATAAGGTCACCGAGCTCTCCGACAGCTGCACCTTCTCGCTCAGGGACTTCTTGCGCCGATTCCCCTTGGCCCCCTTGGCTAGGCTGGGGAGGCTGGTGGGCACGGCGCTCTTGGTGTTGGGCCGTCTCGGCTTCTTGCCCATGGGGGTGTGCTTCAGACTGAGGAAAGCCCTGTTGGGCCCACAGATGACGGGGGAAAGGGCGGAAGTCAGCACTGCCCCCGGCGGGCTGGGCGTCACGTTGTACTCATCCAGGAGGCGCACGATGTCATGGTGCATGCGGTCGCGGGCCACGTCCCTGGGGAGACGGTCCATATGGTCGGTGATATCCCGATTGGCAAAATGGTCTAGCAGGATCTTGGCCGCTTCATAGCTCCCCTCCCGCGCAGCAAGAAACAGCGGCGTCTCTTCCTGTACAAAGGATCCACAGAGAACACATTCTAATGGCATCCTTGATCCAGGCCCAGCGGCTCACACTCCTAACCCTAGCAACTCTGAGAATCATGGTTTGAAGCCAGCCTGAGTAAGAAAGTCTATGGGACTCTTATCTCTAACCACCAAAAAACCTAAAGTGGAGCTGTGGCTCAAGTGGTAGAGTGACGGCCTTGAGCCAAAAAGCTAAGGGGCAGCACCCTGAGCCTTCATCCAAGTCCTAGTACTGACACAAACAAAACAAAACAAAAATACCCCACTCTTGAGAGAAGAGCAGCATTTCTCAATTTTTAATAACTAATTGCTTCATCTTTCCCCCTCTAAGTGTTTCCTTATAAAATTTTAATTTTTTTTTGGTTGGAGTGGGCTTGAACTCTGGGTCTGGGCGCTGTCCCTGAGCGCTTTTGCTCATGGCTAGTGCTCTACCACTTGGAGCCACAGCTCCACTTCCGGTTTTCTGGTGGTCAATTAGAGATGAGAGTCCAACAGACTTCCCTGCCCAGGCTGGCTTTGAACCTTGATCCTCAGATCTCAGCCTCCAGAGTAGCTAGGATTATAGGCGTGAGCCAGGGGTACCTGGCTTTCCCTATGAAATTTTACTGCACCACAAATATGCTGTATGTTTACTTACATAGAGATACATTCACAATGAACGTGTATCTGAAATTTACATACAGAAAGAATAAGCCAGTTCACATCCCCCAAAGAACCTATTTTGTCCCCCTTGAGGCTACCTCTCAGCTGAGGATTTGTGAAATAAACTAAGCTCCTAAGCGGACACTCACGTAAAAGAGTACTCAGCTTATTCATATCAGTTTCTAAGAGAAAAAGGAAACAGAAGAAAGGTAGGGAGAGAATAAACTAAAGAACACAGAGAAATAGGAAAAATAGAGGGAATGGTGAAAGAGAAAAGCAAGCAGGTGTGTGCAGAAAGAACTAAATCAATGAAAAGGAAGTAAGCAAGAAAAGTATGAAGAAAGGGAAGCGAGGCAGATAACTCAGAGAAAACAGCATGGTATCCAGGGACAGAAAAGAACAGCAAAGTGGAAAACAAAGACAGCAAGAGAAAACAGAGGGAACAGAAGTGGGACAGGGAAGGGAACATGTGGTAGGAAAAGACTGGAAAGCTTCTGAATGGGCAAAGGGTTTGCACTCCACACCGCTGGACCTTCATGGGGCTCAGAGGCAGGGTTCTGCCCAGCCTGCCTCTGTTCTTGTCTACGCTCATCACAAGCCAGGTGCACAGAGGACAGGCTGGGCAGGAGTGGCTGTGCAGGGCTCTGTCTGTACCTTGTTGTCCTGCATGTCTCGGTTGGCCCCGTTTTTCAACAGTAGAAGAGTGGCCTCCACGTTATTGACAGCAGCAGCCCAGTGCAGAGCAGATTTTCCTGTGGAGAAGATGTTTGTTCATGAGCAGAGCAGAGCACATCCCAGGCACCAGGACCTATACAAGAAAAGCTTCAACTCCCTCAGAGATCATGGCCAGTTGTTTGGGGGGCCCTGCAGGACCATAGTGGCAGCCTCCTCCCCCTGCATTCTAGGGACACTTCTGACCGCCAGGTCGCAGGTTACTTAGATGTGGTACTCATGTCCTCTCTGTGGCAGCGACTCTCCTTCACATGCTGAGGACAATATAATGTACCTGAGGCGTCTGCACTCATAAATTCTTGTGTCCAAAATGGGGCTCTAAGAGCCCACACAGGCCAACCAAAAGCCCTCACACAGAAAATCCTTTCTCACTTATCTGGAAACCCACACTGACTTAGTTCTCTGATCTCAACATGTTGAAGAGAATGAGTGCATGAATGAAAGCAGAGGGACTGTGCATAGCTGTGTTCTATGACGTGAGAACCATGCAGCAGCGCTTCCCTTGGAGACGCACTGCAGGGAGGACCTGTCCCTACCATGGTCGTCCACTGCATTCACGTCTGCTTGGCAGTTGATGAGCTCTGCCACCATGCCCTCTACAGCCAGACGGGCAGCCAGGATCAGGGGCGTAGTGCCATCGTTCATTCTGGCATCTAGATCAGTGACTCGGCTGCGGATCAGAATCTAGAAGAGGAATAGAGAAAAGTCACTTTGGTCAAAGGAAATAATGCAACTGAGAGACGAAGAAACAATGGAATCAGACCTGAGGCTACACTATAGACTCCCAGAGAGCAGTAAAGTCTTACTATCTTTAAGCCCAAGAGTCTAACACAATCAATGTTTGAGGAAAGAAGGAAGGAGGGAGGGAGGGAGGGAGGGAAGGAAGGAAGGAAGGAAGGAAGGAAGGAAGGAAGGAAGGAAGGAAGGAAGGAAGGAAGGAAGGAAGGAAGGATCCAACCCACAATGGATGATCAAGATGTACTGGCCACAAAGAAATGTACTACTGTGTAAGGGAAACAGATGAATTTCAGAAAGCATCTCATTCTCACACAATGCAAGATCAAGGCGATTCACAATCCCTTGTGAGGGTGAACTCAAAACATGTAGCACTCTACAGTCCAGTCAGGTCAGGAAAATGGCCGCTGGGCTGCTGGAAGCCCACATAGCTGGAGAGACCACAGGGGCAGTTAACACTGAGGCTCCCGATCAGGGGTGGCTCTCCTCACATCAGCATAGCAAAATGCAGCTGAGACGCAGCCTCTGCTGCCTCCTCTCACTATCTGCCGGGACGTTATCAGGCTTGCCTTTTCTTCTCTTCTTTCCCATAGCAATAGTGACTCATCTCTCAGAATTATTTAAGTTGGGTGCAGGTAGCTCATGTCTGTAAACTCAGGAGGCTGAGATTTGAGCATCTCAGTTCAAAGCCAGCAGACAGATCTAATTAAACAGCAGACAGATCTAATTAAACAGCAAAAAGCCAGAAGTGGAGCTGCGGTCAAGTGGTAAGAGTACCAGCCTTGAGCAGAAAAGCTAAGGAAGGGGCCGTGCCCAGGCCCTGAGTTCACGCTCCAGTACTATCACGGACAACCAATTACTGAGTGAATGTCAATGAGGTATTAATTGCCTTCACAAGATGAAACATCATAGACCTGTAAGAGATCCTTACATTCGCAGGTTCCTCACCTGGAAGACGCCTTGGGCATCCGCAGCCACTGCAGCATGGAGGGGGCAGCGGCCCATATTGTCCTGGGCATTGGCATCGGCTCCTGCGTCCAGGAGGCGCTTGGCCGCATCAGCTCTTGAGTAGCGGGCTGCAAGGTGCAGGGCCATCTCACCAGTCCGGTCTGTCTGCGCCTGGAGGCTGGCGCCCTGGTACACCAAGTCGGTGATGATGTTGGCAGCAGAGTCCTCGGCATCCTCATCTTCATCACTCACGTCTGAGCTGCCTCCCCGAAGAGAAGCCAGCATCAGCGGGGTACACCCATCTGCAGGAAAGGAAGCCCCAGGAAATGTGATTACTGCAGGGGCCCACCGGAAACGGAATCTCTGTGCTTCTTGCAAGGACGGTGCTAAGTTTTGGATCTGCCACCTACTTGTCCTCTGATGTCATTCATGTAAACAGTATTGGGAAAGCAAGAGCCACGTGACTGGGGACTTTGTTCTCAGTTAAACAAGCTTTTTCATGCCATTAAAAAAAAATTCGTGTGTGTGTGTGTGTGTGCATCACTGGGGCTTGAACTCAGGGTTTGGACACTATTCCTTGGGTTTCTGTGCTCAAGGTTAGCACTCTACCATTTGAGCCATGAATCCACTTATGGCTTTTTGGTGGTTAACTGGAGAGAAGACTTTCCTGCATGGGTTGGCTTTGAACCTCAATCTTCAGATCTCAGCCTTCTGAACAGCTAGGATTACGGGTATGAGCCACCAGTGCCCAGCTCAAGTGCTATGCTATTTTAAGCTAGATAATCTTTAGCATATCCAGTATTACTGAGATAACTATATGCATAATATATAAACGAAACTAATTCTCTATCCTCTGCTTTAGGATACAGTTTTCCTGTCCTACTGAAATCTAACATTTAGCCTGCTGTTTGTTCTCAATATGCTGTTATGAAACTGTAAGAAATTCTTTGCTTGCTTCTGAGTTCATTATTTCTACATCATGTTCATTTCCTGGAGCTGACGTAAGGTCTGTGGAGCTGATGGGGACACTCTGCCTAGTGCAGAGCAGGCCCAGCAGCGCTGACCTGGGCCCCGGACATTCACATCCAACACGTCCACCTCCTGCTCTGCCTGAGGAGGAGTGAGAGCCAGTGACGGTGTCCGACGGATGTCAGCGGCTTCCAGGTGCTGCTGTGTCCATGGGCGTCGGTCAATGGGGTCATCTTCTTCTGAGAGTAAAGCCTCGTCTTCAGGCTGGAAGAGAAAACCATGCTTCTGAGCCACAGACTCTCACCAAAGCTGCTGACAAGTCAAGTCTCCCGCCTCCCTTCCCCCCCCCCCCCCCCCCCCGTACCACCCCCTTGAACCTCCATCCATTTCTCTCTCTCTCAGCTTTAATCTTCCCTCTGACTTTCTACTGCTCTTACCATGTGGTTCCTCTTGACTTCTCCCGCATCACCTGGGCAATTCTTTCCACCTCTCCATCCCTACCCCAGGCTTTAGCCCTCAAATGCTACTTCTTGGGTTTTTTTTTTTTTCCCCTTTTTCTTTTGTTCCTGAGGCTTTGAACTCAGGGACTGGGAGCTGTCCTTGAGCTTTTGTGCTCAAGGCTAATACTGCTCCATTACTTTGAGCCCCAGCACCATTTCCAACTTTTCTGTAGTTAAATTTTAAGAGTCTCATGGACATTTCTGTCCAGGCTGGCTTTGAACTACAATCTTATATCTTAGTCTTCTGAGTAGCTAAGATTACAGGCATGAGCCACCAGTGCCTGACCTCACTTCTATTCTACACTCTCAGAGCACTTAATTCTGCTCTGACCTCTGCCTGGATCTTCCCTGCCTACAAAGGCTTCCTCCAATTCTTTGTCTTACTAACTCCTGCCTACCTTCAGGTAGAAATTGGACTTTAACCGCACTTTCTGGTCCTAAATAGTAACTTTGCCCATCTTTACTAGGCAGCTATGTGGCAGTCTCTACTGCCACTCTAGGGGATGAGCCTAGTTCCTTGCTGTACTTCATCCAGCCCAGAGCACCACAGTGTTATCAGTATCCTGAGGTGCCTATAGTCCATGAGCATCAGGGCTAGCCACCCGCCTCCCACCCAGGACACTCTGGGATTAAAGACATCTGAAATGAGACCAAAGGATGGCTGACCATATTGGTTCTGCCAAAGTCAGCTTACCTTCGCTTTCTTTGGCTGGGGTCCTTCATCATCTACCCAATGTTCGCTTGTTCCAGAACCAATTAAGTTGGCCTCTGAGACTTGTACTTTGAGATTTCTGATATGATTAGAGAGGGGAAAAACAAGAGCAGAGGTCATGACATAGACACAATGGCTTCCAACACTTCTACCACCACCCAACTCCCAAAGCTACCCCCAGATCCAGGCAGTACTTGTTGTGACATTTCTGAGCATTTAGTTTCTCCTTCCCAGTGAACAAGAGCTTACAATGACAATCTGCCCCATCTCTGAAGCTGAGCTTGACTCCAGTGATATATATGTACAGAAGAGACATAACACTCAGAACTGTCTGTGTGGCACCTCCGTCACTCACAGTCATTTATAATCAGGGTCAAGATTAGATAATTAATGAGCAGAGCTCAGAATAGGCAATAGGATACACTTTTAAATCTCATTCTTGCTTATTGCTATGCATGGTGGCTCATTGGCAGGACTCTCTTACTTTAGCCCCACAGCATCCTGTCCCACTGGCTCACGACGCTTGTGATTGCTGGAATCTCGACGAAGGGTGAAACCTTCAGGTAGCCAGAGGAAGCCATGTTTCCGTTTCCGTTTTGCCATGATGACCCCCAGCAGGATAATAAACAGGATAATGACAATAGCAACAGCAAGGAGATAGAGAAGCTGGGTGTGGCCTGGAGGTATGGATTCACCTGAAAATCCAGAGACCAGGGATGTGCTGACTTGAAGGGCTGACCCGCTGAACCGTGCCCCACCCCCACACCGTGTCTTTCCCCAACCCTTTCTCTGTGACACCCAGGGAACTCACTGACAACAGACACAAGAGGGTATGACAGAGTCCCCTGGATAGCGTGAGAAGCCAGCAGAGCTGCTGCAGCATCCGTGTTCTTGAAGCACTGGTCCGAATCTTGGACACACTGGCGGTTGTCAATTTCCAGAAACACCTTAGAGCTAAGAGAGAAGAAGGGACATGGTGTATAGAATAGAAGGGTGCAGGTCCAGCAGGCCAAGCCAAAATAGGGTTACCCTTAGGACATTGCTTCCAGTAAGAACTCAGAAGATGAGGATACTGTCACTTGGGATTCTAGGTTCATGTGTTTAAGTTCTTGGTCTGTGTGGTACGTCCCTTCAGATTCTAGATACTGATGCCCATCTAGACCACTACTGGCCTTCCTTGGGGGCTGAGGGAACCTCTGACTGGGACAATGTATAAATAAGGTGTCTGTCCACCTCCTCTGACAGGTCTGAGTTCCCTACCCTTTCTCCTTAGTGGCATTCGGTACCATGTGAAATCCACTGGGCTCATGCCGGGCCCTTCTCTTCTGTCTGTATTCAATTCTCAGTGAGCAAGAAGGTGAAACTCACGGTATACACTGACAAATAACATGAGCAACCCAACTGGACATCACTGCCCTTGTCAAAGAGACACTGTATGGTCAAAGGGTCTTGAAAACAAGACAATGATTAATACAAAAGAGGGTTTTGAAGCAGTTCCAACAAAATGTTGGGATCCCAGCATTTGAGAAAGTGTTTCCATACCCACCCCCTTGCTCTAGCTTACTTTTCAGGATCCCACCACTAAGGCAAATCTTTTTGTCAGGGGATGGGGAACATGAAGATTTGAACTCAGGACTTGCTGCTTTCTAGTCAGACATTCTGTAGCTTGAGTCACACCTCTAGCTCTTTTGCTTTTGTTATTTTTGAGTCAAGATCTCACTTTGGACTAGGCTGGCCTAGACCACAATCCTATTTACTTTTCTTGCTATTGCTAGAAGGGCAAGCAAATGCCACCATGCCCAGAAGTTTCTGTTGAGATGAGGTTTCATGAACTTTTCTGCCCTGAAACCAAGATCCTTCAGTTCTTAGTTTCTTGGATAGTGGGAAGAACAGGTATGTACCACTGATCCCAGGTATTAAAGAAATGGAACCTGAACTTAGGGCTTTGTGCTTGCTAAATAGTACCTTACCTCTTTTTCCCTCAACATCAGTACTGGGGCAAGGTGTCTATCATAAGTGGTGGGCCATCCTATTTGTCTAAGCTTTGCATTTCCATAGGCTGAGTTATCAAAAATGCTCAGCTTGCCAGGTGCTAGTGGCTCACCCCTATAATACTAGCTACTCATGAGGCTGAGACCTGAGGATCGCAGTTCAAAGCTAGCCTGGAGAAAATAGTCCACAAGATTCTTATCTCCAATTTACCATCAGAAAACTGGAAGTGGCACTGAGGCTCAAAGTGGTAGGGTGCTAGCCTTGAGTTGGAGAGCTCAGCAACAACACCCAGGTGCCACGACTACCACCAACAAAAGCTCAGCTTTTTACAGATAACCTTTAAAGAACCTACCCAGCAACCTCCTGATCGTGTTCATCAGGAAGAGACCTCCGTGCCACCTTCTGCTTCTTCAAGGCAGCTGGCTTCTCACCATAGTACGGGTACACCATGAGGCTCCCCTGGGAGTCCCGCTTAATGCGAAGGTTGGTGTGGAGCAGGGTGCCCAGGGCCCGCAGGAAGCTTCGTGAGTCCTGGAGCAGCTGCTCTGGGGGAAGCAGCACCACTATGACCAGAGTGCCCTCCGCCAGGTTCTCGGGCCGGTCAGCAGCACAGTCCAGCCCATCCCAGCCACACTCTTCACTGTTGCAGCCCTGGTCGCAGTGGTTGTCTTTGAAGTGGTCTGCACAGTACTTGTCATACCTAGCAGAGGAAAAAAAAAAGCAGAGAAAGGAGCTCGAACTAGACTGGGGCTCCAGTGGGCTTGGAACACTGTGGTTTTCCTACCCATCTTTTGTGGCCTCTATTGGGATCAAAATGCCCTGTGCTGACTTGAGTCTGTCCCTGACACCATGGGGTACACAGTCTAGGTTGCTCATCACTGAGTACTGCCTAGGAAAGGAGGCACGCTGTATGATGCGCTGTACACACCCAGGGCTCCCGCACAGCCCAGTCTGAGTCGGAGTTTTCACAAAGCCGTGTCGCGAGGAGCCAGGAATGTGGCTTAGTGGTAGTGCATGAAGAAGCTCTGGGTTCGATTCCTCAGTACCACATACATAGAAAAAGCTGGAAGTGGTGCTGTGGCTCAAGTCATAGAGTGTTAGCCTTGAGCAAAAGAAGCTCAGGGACAGTGCCCAGGCCCTGAGTTCAAGCCCCAGAACTGGAGGGGGGTAGGGGGAAAGCTGTGTCACTGAGACCAGTCAGTCACCCACAATGCTTCCTGCAGTTTCATCCACTGCTCCCAGTAAGATAGCAATGAGTCTTAGGAGTAAAGAGAGCCACAGGTGGCTTCAGACCCAGAATTAGAGATGCTTTACAGAGAAACTTCTCAATTGAGCCCATTTTTAAATCTTTTTTCTTTTTGTGCTGATACTGGGGTTCCCAAGTCAGGGTCTTGTTCTCACTAGCTTTATTTGCTCAAGGCGAGCACTCTACCTCTTGAGCCACAGCACCACTTCCAGTTTGCTGGTGGTTCATTGGAGATTTTCCTGCCCGGGCAGGTTTTGAACCACAACCTTCAGATCTCAGCCTCCTTGGTAGCTAGGATTATAGGTGTGAGCCCCCACCACCCAGCTTGGCAGATTCTTTACCTTGTAGGGCCTTAGGTCCCTCACCTTTGAAGGACTGTTAACAATAGCCATGCCCCACAGTCCGCTGGGAATTAACTAGAGCAAAATGACATGGAATGGCTGGTAGGAAAGTTACTACATAGACCATAAAACACCCTGAAATTATAATGGTGAAGACAGCAGAAGGGTTATTCAGAGGAATAACCTAGCTCATGCTTCCAGATAAATCTAGACAGAGAAAGCAGTCTTAAAGAAAGAATGGATGAGGGGAGGGAGTACCTTTCTAGCCATCCTGCAGGCAGGTGGTGTGAGCTGCTGCCCGCTAGTGGGCAAGGCCACTTCCAAGAGTTATTTCCCCCAGGAGGTGAGGCACGAGGCAGGTGAGGAGGCAGAGAGAGGCAGGAAGGGAGAAGTTACACAGCGAGCATGGCTGGTGCTCAGTCAGCCAGGGAGGGCACAGGATAGCGTGTGATGGGACAAGGCTGGCACCATCTGAAAAGCAGAGGCGGCTTGGGCCAAAGCAGCACTGGAGTGGTTAGGAGTACAGGCGGCGTGGGCCACAGCACTGGAGGATAGAAGCAGAGGTGGCTTGGGCCGAAGCAGCACCAGAGTGGTTAGGAGCAAGAACAAGAAGCCAAAGGCGTGTTAGTGACAGTCTCACTCGCTTCTGGAGAGCCTGGGGCCCTTACTTGCATGTCTTGCTGTTGCCCTGACATTCAAAGTTGTCAAACAGGCACTCAGCGGTGTTACACAGTTGGTCACACTGGTTGTTGATATAGTCCCAGCAGGGGATGGGTGCAGTGCAGTTGGCCCAGGGGTTCTCCATGGTGAGGGAACAGTCGCCCCCGTCCCACTGGCAGGCGTGGCTGTTGCAGGCCTCGTCACAGACCCCATCCCGAGCTTTGTCGATGCAGTACTGACTCAGACAGGTGGCCGCAGGGGTGCTGGTGGGGACAGGGTACAGCTCACACTGTCTGCCCCAGAAGGGTGGAGAGCAATGGCATGAGTAGTAAGGAGGGTGGTGCTGAGGGCGGCAGCTGCCCCCGTGCTGGCAGGGGTTACTGGCACAGCCTGACTCGCAGTCCTGAGGGTTGGGGCAGAAGCAGCGGGGTCCCGAGGCAGTGTGCACACAGTGCTCTCCTCTCCGGCACTTCACCTGCCCACAGCTGCTCTGGCATTTTGCCCCAGAGAATCCCTGTGGAAAGCAGGGGAGACATGAGCAGGGCAGGCAGACAAGAGGACCTGCCCCACTTTCTGTCCCACCCCTACTCCACAACTCTCTGGAGAGATTGATAACTGGTTAAAATCCCACCCTACTCTCCCACCCCCATGTAGCATCCTGGACCACCAAGTTCTCAGAAATGACCTTTGCAGGTCAGTCAAAGGTAAGGGCTGAAGGTCCCATGAAAAGTGTGGCATTTTTAGTTTTTGTGCTAGTACTAGGGCTTGAACTCAGAGCCTGGGTGCTGGACTTCAGCTTTTTCACTCAAGGCTAGTGCTGTACTACTTCAGCCACACCTCCACTTCCAGCTTTTTGCTGGCATTTTGCAGAAGATATGAGTCTCATAAGATTTTCCTGCCCAGGATAGCTTTGAACTGCAATATGTGGATCTTCCCCATGTAGCTAGGATTATAGTAGTCACTTGTGCCCGGCTAGAGTGTGGAGTTCTTAAACTAGAAACGAAGTCCACATATCATGATGGGGCAGAAGGCCTTATCTATAGGCACCTCTCTAATTACTGCTAGATCACCATCTTAGTGGCTTTCAGCAGGAAGAAAAAGCATCCGAAGAGGAGTTTGGGAATCTCTGGATTCCAAGTTTTTCATATTCTACTTCTTCCTTGTGCTTTCTACTTGGTGTCAGCTAAGGTTACTAGACAGAATTTCTCCTGGTGTCTCTCCACACATAATGATTATCTACTTTAGGGAACTGTCAGCTTTTGGTAAGAAGTAATGTCCAAAATTATGTTTCTTTCTTAATTGAAGAAGGAACTTGATCTCAAACGGTTCCTGTTGAAGAACATACACATTCTGTCTATCTGATCAGGGAGAATGAGCTCCAGCATGGGACCACAAAGCCACAGCCAGTGGCCCTCTTTCATGGGACATTCCAGTGTTTGTGGTTTTTTTCCTAGTGTTCTGTAAACTGGTAATCACAGACATAGAAGCTGGCAGCTTCTGGCCAGGCCTAAACACTTCACAGGAAAAAAAACAAAAAACAAAAGCCAAAGCACTTTCTTCTAAAGGAGCAAACACTGAGAAATCTACCCATCAGGAAACTTGAAATACCACAGTGTGAACTCAGCTTTGTGACAGCTCATATGAAGACCATTGTTCCCTAATCTGGCGGCAGGCCACTTACAGGGGGACAGAGACAAATGAAGCCATCAGGCATGTTTCTGGCCACAGCACACGTCCCTCCATTCAGGCAGGGCATCTGGGGACATACATCCATGAACGTTTCACAGTGGCGGCCTGGAGGCAGAAAACAAACAGTTGTTTTAAAGGGCAGAAATAGTAACTTCACATTACTGAACCCAACCCCACAGGGAGGGAAACCAGACTTAGATGGAGCAGGGCTGTGAAAGAATTTGGGTTTAAGCTTCAGGAATGTGTGAAGGTAAAGATGAACTCAATGGACTTCAATGACATGATGGTTCATACCTGACCCAAACCATTTTTGTCTGTCTAGCTATGCCATAAACACAGCACACCACAAAAGAGGATGAAAAGAGATAGACACAGAAATGACTCTAAATCTATTTTTAAATCTATTTTCAGGTGCTGGTGGCTCACTATGCAAAAGGCACAGTGATTCTTTCTCAGTATTACTGTACCCAAGCACCTTCCACATTGAACAGTTGCTCTTATTTTTTGTAAAAATTCCAAAATTCCTGAGAGAGAGAGGGGGGAGGGGGGAAGCGAGAGCGCGCCATTACCAGGGCTTTGAACTCAGTGCCCTGCACTCTTGCTTGGCTTCTCTGTTCAAGGCTGGTGTTCTATCACTTGAGCCGTGGCTCTGTTTCCAGCTTTTTGGTGGTTAGTTGGAGATAAGAGTCTCACAGATTTGTCTGCCCATGCAGGTTTTGAACTGTAATCCTCAGATCTCAGCCTCCTAAACAGCTAAGATTACAGAGTCACTGGACACCCAGAGCTCCTGAGATTCTTTTTTTTTTTGGTCAGTCGTTGGGCCTGAACTCTGGGCCTGGGTGCTGTCCCTCAGCAATTCAGCTCAAGGCTAGCACTCTACCACTTGAGTCACAGCGCCACTTCCAGCTTTTTCTGCTGATGTGATACTGAGGAATCGAACGCAGGGCCTCATGCATGCAAGGCAAGCACTCTACCACTGAGCCACCTTCCCTGTCTCTGAGATTCTTAATGATAACAAATCTTTAATATTGGAAAAGAAGAGAAGAAGTAAATCAAGGAAAGGAGGAATTCAGGCTAGAGATGGCTTTAGGATACTGCTGTCTCTACCTATGCCGAACAAGAACTCTGCAACAACCTATTCTGACTGTCAAAGAGTGTGGTAACCTGTTGAGTATAAGAACCACAACCACAACTACAAACTCCAGACAGATTTCAGTCTGAGGAACTGATGACCTGCCACATCTACATGTAAGTAATTTACTTAGCCCCCAGAGGCCATCCCACGGTCCTTTTCCAGAAGTGATTAGTGTGAGTGATAAAGTCCCTATTCTGATCTTCATTATGCCCCGCATCAAGGACAAGACTAAGGAGCATGGCCAAGCCTTAGCCATGTAGGGGGCACCTGTGATGACCACAGTGGCTTTGCCCTGAATCCAGAGTTAGAAAGATGACAGTGACAGGAACTTGTAAGTATCTCAAGTCATTACACATCAGAGGTGGCTGAGTGGCATGCCCAGAGTTAGATGTAAGATTCTTGAAAACAAAATGCTAGTATTCTCAGATGAAAAGAATTCTGTGGATATATGATAAGGATGGAAACACTGCAGCATGAACAAACAATGCACAGTGTATGGCGAACATATTCTGCTCATATATACATATATAGCATGCATTTATATATGATACATATATGATATAATCAATTCAAAACAGAAGAGAACCTAGGAAAAGTCAATGGTAGAAACTGATCATTAAATCCATGGACCACAGACCTACAAAAGAAATGGCCACTTAAACTGCCATATATAGCAAGGTATTTGCTCTATACTAGATGTGGTCAAGAATCATTCAGTGCTATATCTACAGTCACTCAACAAAGCCTTTCCAGGGCAGAGTGGTGGGGCTGAGTAGGTTCTCACCAGTGAAGGCACTTCGGCAGACACACTGGTAGTCATTGGTGAGCTGGATACAGTCCAGGCTGCCCTCAGAGTTGCAGGGGCTGGAGAGGCACTCGTTGATGTCCCCTTCACACCGTTCCCCGGCAAAGCCAGGCAGGCAGAGACAATTATAACCCCCAATCCTGTCCACACACTGGCCCCCATTCAGGCAGTGGGGACCCCCAGCACAGTCATCAATGTTCTCTTCACAAAGTAGGCCTGGAGGAGAGAGGAGATACAGAATTACAAGTGCCTTTTGAATACTGCTTTCCAGAAAAAGAACAATCTTTTTGGATTACACACACACATATTATATACATATACACATATAATTACTGGTGAATTAATAGGATAACAAAAAAATACCCAAAGAAAAATTCAAACACATGTGAGAATCTAAAATTTGATAAAAAAAAAAATACTACCTCAAATCATCACGAAAAAGGCCAAGCATTCAATAAATAGTGCCAGGAAGAATCCATAATCATAAGGAAAAAGTGTTCTGTATTCCAAATACTTGAAGAAAATATGGAAGAAATCCTTTATAAACCTTAGTGTGTGGCAGATATTGCTATGACTCTGACTCGAATGCCAGACGCATAGATTTAAAAAGATTGATAAATTCAATGTGACTTAAAAATATCTGCTTAAAAACAAAATTAAAAAAAGAAAGAAAATCAAAGGAAAACCAGATACTGGTGGCTCACACTTGTAATCCTAGCTACTCAGGAGGCTGAGACCTGAGATTATGGTTTGAAGGAAAGTCTGTGAGACTCTTAGCTCCAATTAAGCACTAAAAAGCCAAAAGTGGTGCTGTGGTTCAAGTGGCAGAGGCACCAGCTTTGAGAATAAAAGCTCACAGACAGTGCCTAGGCTCTGAGTTCAAGACCCAGAATGGGCACCAAAAAAGAAAAGAAAAAAACCCCCACTGTACTGGGAAAATACTTGCTTGTGATATCAGAAACAGATAAATTCTATAAAATACTAAAATCAACAATGTAATATAATGGGAAAAAAGGCACAAATACCAGGTAAATCATATAGGAAAAGGAAAACCAAAGAATTTTTAAATGAGCATATGTTCAATCACACTGAGAAGAAACCAGTGTTCTGCTAACATGGCAATTCAGCAATGACATCTAAAAGTATAAATGAACATACTTCCCAATCTAGCAACTGTATATCTGCAAATATATTCTACAAACATAGTTAGATGCATGCAAGATAACCCAAATGTCTACAGCACCAGTTAAGTAAAACATGATATGTTCACATGTGGGAATGCTGAAGCTATTAAAAAAAGATTGAAGATGTTCTTTATTTTGATATGGAAATGTCTCAAAGTAAGTAATAACATCAAGGACAAAAGAATGTGCTTAATATTCCATCTTCAGAGTTAAAAAGTAGAGGAAGTTAAAATATCTTTGTATTTGACTTCTATGTAAATGAATTTCTGAAGACTACTTTAAGAAAAAAGAAGACACAAAAGAAACTGAAAGGGGTGGTTCCCGTTGGTGAGTGTGGGGAGATAGACAAGGGCAGGAGTGTGTCTTTTTACTCTGTGCTTTTTCTATGTGTATGCTCATGTCTATGTGTGTATATTACCTTATTTCCTATTTGCAAATTAAATACAAAATAAAGTAAAAGTAAACGAAAGCAGTATGTACTCCTAGGCTCACAGAATATCTGCTATTTCAAGTCTGTGAATAACACAGGCAGAAATGCTTAGCCTACCATCAGAATGGAATCATCTGGAATAAATAAATCTATCAAATGAGAATCAACTCATCCTCAGCTTGAAGTAAAACAGAAGAGATGGGCAGAAGTACCCCGAGCACTAGGAGTTGCAGGTGTACCCAAGATCCAAAGCTGAGGAGAATAAAGACACTCATCAATAACCAGAACAGTTATGCAACTCAGGATAAATAAACACCGCTCCACCTATCTGAACAAAGCCATGGAGAATTACAATGTTGTGTCTTTGTTCAGGTAGGTGGAGGTATGGATTAACTCAGAGATCTACAGAGCCTGTCATGGAGCCAGTTTTATCATCGTTCACTTTTCAAAATCATCTCAACATAAAGGAAGGATTTACACATTAGGAAACACCCTGGATGGAAGGTAAGTATGGCTAATTTCCTACCCCGAGTGCCAGGTGGGCAGGAGCACTTGAAATGGTTCACAAGGTCGACACAGGTGCCTCCATTCTGGCATGGCTGGTTCTGGCACTCATCAACTTCATACTCACAGTTCACACCCTGATAACCTGGAACACACTGCCAGGGGGAAGCAAAAAGGACAAGAAATATGAGATCATTTCTGGAACGGACCACCAAAACAGGTGAGGTCACTTATCCCTTCTATATTTCTCCTGAATCATCACATTCTTTGCCCAAGCTCACTGGCATTTATCTCGTCCTCTTCCCGTTTTGCGGGCTTCTGCAAATCTCCTCAGCATAGGCTCCTTCATCTTTAAAATATCATCCCTTCCTATTGATGAGGGCCCTATGATTTGAGCAGTATGTGTGGACAATAGTAAAGACTTTGTACATGTGGATCTCTAGGTTAAGAAAACTGCAGGCGGGGCTGGGAAGGTGGCTCAGTGGTAGAGTGCTTGCCTTGCATGCATGAGGCCCTGGGTTCGATTCCTCAGTACCACATAAGCAGAAAAAGCCAGAAGTGACACTGTGGCTCAAGTGGTAGAGTGCTAGCCTTGAGCTGAAGAGCTGAGGGACAGTGCCTAGGCCCAGAGTTCAAGCCCCATGACCAGCAAAAAAAAAAAAAAAAGAATACTGCAGGCATATACAGGAAATGACACAGGTGGGCAGGGACAGAAGAAGGTGAGTCTCACAGACTTTTCTGCCTGGGCTGGCTTCAGATCACAATCCTCAGATCTCAGCCTCCTGAGTAGCTAGGATGACAAGTGTGAGCCACAGACTTTTCTGCCTGGGCTGGCTTCAGATCACAATCCTCAGATCTCAGCCTCCTGAGTAGCTAGGATGACAAGTGTGAGCCACTGGCATCTGGCTTGAAGCAACTACGTCAGTTGTTTTAGAAAACTGTTAGAATTATTGATTGATCAGTTGACTGTATAGAAAGAGGAAACAGGGCATGCCCTCAAAGTGGTTTCTCCTATTGCTGCTGTTATTCAGTTAAGTTTCAGAGATTTCGTGTGTGTGTGTGTGTGTGTGTGTGTGTGTGTGTGTGCGCGCGCACGCGCGCGCGCGCGCACGCACACTCACACATATATGTGGTGAAATGCATCTAGTACTGGCTGTTGGAAATTCGGGGAGCAAGCCTGTTGGAGGAGAAATAGTTCCAGAGTATGAGTATGCTACCGTATTTCACAGGGAGGCTGACAGTGATAACCACTATTGTAGGTGCCATATAAAAACCTATACACCGAACACATGAGACAGAGGCAGCTAAATTCAATACAGTAGTGTTTGTAACAGCTACACAATCTCCTGGGACTTGCTGACCTCTGCTTGCTCTGTCCTCACCTCACACCGGTATCCCCCAATGCAGGTGGCGCCGTGCTGACAGGGATTGGATGCACACTCGTCTAGCTGCTCCTCGCAGTAGCTCCCTGTGTAGCCCGGAGGGCACTGGCAGTGATGGGTGTTGCCAGCACTGATGCAGACACCTGAGTTTTGGCACAGGTGATCAACATGCACTTCTGAAAGGCAGGGGAGGAAAGGTATCAGGAAATGACTCACAGCAAGTTCAGAAGAATTAATGAGCAAACTAATCTGAGATGGTCAACACCTGCTTAAATTCTTTTTGTGTGTACCAAGGCTTGAATTTCAGGCCTCATACTCTCACTTAGCTTTTTTGCTCAAGGTTGGCATTCTACCACTTGAACCACACCTCCACTTCCTGGTTTTGGCTGGTTAAATGGAGACAAGAGTCTCATAGACTTTTTTGGCAAGGCTGTCTTTGTACCTCAATCCTTAGATCTCTTGAGTAGCTACAAGTACAGGTATAAGCCACCAGTGCTTGGCTGTGCATTAGCTTATACTTTATACTTTATTTTCAAATGTTATTCTTGTCTAGCTCTTCATAAGCCTCTAAGCCATTATCATTAAAATTAACTATGTCCTGAAAATGGAAGATGCCATCACTTCATTCCAAACATGTTTCCTTCTCAAACCTCTCAACCTGTTTCCCTAGCCTTTCTTCAGGGCTTTGCCCATTTACCACCATCTGTCCTTCCCTCTTATCTATAATAGTAACATCAGTCCTAAAATGCCACTGGCCATATAGTATACCAGGGATGAGCCTGAGGCCGGGGTAGGCTCACAGTACACCAGGCTGAGCCTGAAGCCAGGGGTAGGCTCACTTTTGCGCAGGGCAGCCACCTCACAGGGCACGTTGGGCACATCGCAGTATGCACCAGTCCATCCAGATGGACACAGACACCGGGACTCTGCCTTCTCCTGGATGCAAGTGCCTTGGTTTTTACATGGAGATCGGCTGCAAAGGCTCACCAAGGTCTGAAACAGAGACGAAGGTATATTTACATTAAAATTCAAATACAGGAAATGAAGAAAATAAGTTACACTGTCATTCTTCTACCAATTGGGATCATAAATGCACAACATCATACCTATAGCATGGTCTAATTTTTACTCAGGCTGACCTTGAACCATAATCTTCCTAATTTCCACCTCCTGAGTAGTTGAGATTACAGGCATGAGCCACTGTAAATAACTTAAAAGACATGTAGGTAATTTGGTTTTGAAAGTATTACAACACTGTAAAACATTATTATTATTATCATCCCTTTAGGATAATAAAGATTTGTCTTAAAGATTAACCTTGAAAGATTTGATTTTGATTGTTATGATTTAGATATGGCATCTCCCACAGACTCACATGTTAAGGGCCTCAGAGGGTGGTACTTTTTGGAAAATTCTAGACACTTTAGGGGGTGGGCTCTATCTTGTCCCTTGCCCCCTTCCCTCTTTGCTGCTTCCTGGCCACCATGAGGTGAGCAGCCTCTCTTCCCCATGTGCCCACTGTGATGGTCAGCCTCACCATGAAACCAGCCTACCATGACCGAAACCTCTGAAGCCACGAGCCAAATAAATCCTTCTTCCTTTCAAGCTGCTCATCTCAGAGCAACAAGAAGTTGCTTTTGATGGTTTCCAATGTGGAAGGGATACGTGCTTGCGTACCAAGCATATTTTTTCTCAGTCTCTTAAAATCATCTTATATCTGTACGTTCACACCATATTCCTGCTGGGATCACTAGTTTGGAATCTACCAGTTGTTAAGAAAGTGACTCAGGTTTATCTCAGGCACTGCCTCTCTGAGATCCACCATCTTCTCTTTGGGAAGGGGCTCATTCTGCCTGGAAGGAGAATTAGTGTAATACTAAGCTACTCTGGGGAACAGAGTGAATGGGCGAGATGAGAATTACCTGACAGTTTTTCCCAGTGTAGCCCAAGGGGCAGGTACAGCGGTAGGTACCCAGGCCATCAACACAGGTTCCCTCATTCAGGCACGGATGAGAGTTGCACTCATTGATCTCATGGAGGCAAAAGGGACCCGTGAAACCCACAGGGCACAAGCAGGAGAAGGAGCTGATTCCATCGATACATGTGCCGCCATTGAAACAGGAACTGGCAAGGAAAACAGACAAGCACCGTCATCATGTGATCAGGTTCTCTGACCTACCACTGCACAGTAAGTGCTCAGAAATCTAAGATGTTACAGAGGCAAATATCTCTGAGCCTCCAAACTCCTATGTCCAGAAAGTCTGTTTTTTTTTTCCCTCCAAATAGACTGGTATCAAAAGCCCTGGATGCTAACTTCCTTTCTATAACCAAAAGCTCAGAAGTATATTTAAAGGCAGAACTTACCAGGTACCACTGGCTCCTGCCTGTAATCCTACTCAAAAGGCTGAGATCTGAGGATTGCTGATCAAAGCCGCTCTAGGCAGGAAAGTCTGTGAGATTATTCTCTCCAATTAACCACTAAAAAAGCCAGTAATAGAGCTATGGCTCAAATGGTAGAGCACCAGCTTTGAGCAAAAAAGCTCAGGGACAGTCATGAATTTAATCCCCAGGACGGCACCAAAAAAGAAAAAAAAAGAGAAAAGAAAAAGGCAAATATATTCTATTGTCCTAAGGGAAGTTTTCCAGGCTTTACTCAGTCCTCTGGTTTTTCACATACCACATTTTAAAGTCAACTTACTTCATATAAAATGTGTTAAATAGTCTTTCACTGTATAATTATGACACAGAAAGGAAGTTTAAAAAAATATTGAGCCACAAGTGGTAGAGCACTTGCCTTGAGCTGAAGAGCTCAGGGACAGCACCCAGGCCCAGAGTTCAAGCCCCACAACCAAAAAAAAAATTAGCCAGGTACTGATGGCTCACAACTGTAACCCTAGCTACTTAAGAGGCTGAGATTTGAGGATCATGATTTAAAGTTAGCTGGGGCAGGAAAGTCCATTAAACCACCAAAAGCCATAAGTGGAACTGTGGTCAAGTGGGAGAGTATCAGTCTTGAGCAAAAAAGCTAAGAGACAGCATCTGAGTTCAATCACCAATAATGGCACACAAAATAACAAGAACAAAGAAAACAAACAAGAAACAATTGAAACTGCCCGGAAATTATTCAGAGTGCTAACAAATCTGCAAAGAAATAGGATTTTTAAAGGTCAATTCTCAACTAAAATGAACAAGAGAGTAGGGAGAGACCAGAAATGTGGCTCTTTCTGTTCTATAAGCAAGAAGTAAATGATGATCCATCCCAGGAAGCCTTCCTGCCTCTAACCTGCAGTCTTCTAACTATGTCTATGAGAACAGTGAGAGAGGGCTATGCGGCAGGACTCCAGTGGAGACCTCATCTCTGCTCCACAGTCTTAGCATTCACTGTGAAGCCTCCCATCCTCCCCTTCCCACCCCTGAGACGCAGGCATGTAAGGTGCAGGGCTCCTCACCTCTCTGTGCACTCATCGATGTTGTTCTCACAGTGCACACCATCAAACCCTGCCTGGCACTTGCAGGTGTAGCTGTTGACATAGTCAGAGCAGGTACCACCATTCTTGCAGGGTTCGCTCAGACACTCATTCATGTCTGCCTGGCACTTTTCCCCGGTGAAACCAGGAAGGCAGAGGCAGGAGAAGGTGTTCACTCCATCGACACAGGAGCCTCCATTCTGGCAAGGGTCTAAGCCAGGAGAAAAGAGTAGAGCTCAAAACAGCAGTACTGATTTGAATCTTAAACTCATACAAGTGAGTGAGTGACCTATGGGGTGCCGGTGGCTCACACCTGTAATCCTAGCTACTCAAGAGGCTGACAGCTGCTATTTGAAGCCAATCAGGGCAGGAAAGTCTGTGAGGTACTTATTCTCCAATTTGCAATAAAAAAGCCAGAAGTGAAGGTATGGGTCATGTGTAGAGTGACAACAATGAGAGAAAAAGTGCTGAGGCCTTGAGATCAAGCCTTAGTATCAGCACAAAAGACAAAAGCCAAAGCAAAATAAAATAAAGCAAGGATATTAGAGAGTTTAGTGACACATAAAATATATATTAACAGCAGAACAAAGATGAGGAGGATTATAAACCAAATATGCTGTTCATTATCATAGGTGATGGTTTTGGCTATCACATCGTATTTTATGACTATTCACTTAAGACATTTGCAGTTCTTTTAAAAAAATAGGTCAAAAAAAGGCTATAGAGCATTGCCTTCTCTTGGTCATGTTTAAAATGTTACCAAGTAATGCTTAATGGACTGTACTGCTTTGACTCCTAAAGAAAGCAGCTTCAAAAAGAAGATTTAAAATCACTAGTGTGAAGCAGATGTCAGTGAGCTAATGCTGTAATCCTAGCTACTTGGAAGGCTAAGATCTGAGGATCATGGTTTGAAGACAGTCTGGGCAGTAAACTCCATGGGACTCTTTATCTCCACAATTAATCACCAAAAAGCTGGATGTGAAGCTGTGGCTCAAATGGTAGAGTGCTAACTGTGAACAAAATTGCTCAGGGACAGTGCCCAGGCTCCAAGTTCAATCCTCAAGATTGGTACCAAAAAACAAACAAACAAACAAAAACCACGAGTGTGGCGAGAACCAGTGGCTCATATTTGTAATCTAGCTACTCAGTAGACTGAGATCTGAGGATGGAGATTTCCAGCCTAAGCAGGAAAGTCCATGGGACACTTGGACTCTTAGCTCTAATTACCAGCAAAAAAAAAAAAAAAAAAAAAGACTGAAGAGGAGGTATGGCTTAGTGAAATAAATTAAGGAATAATACCTATACCCTGAATTCAGGGCCTGGAATCAGCACACACATACACCTATTAGAAGCACTCCATATGACTGCTCTGCCAATGTCAGCGTGAGCAGCAGCCTCCACTAGTCAGCCCTCTCTCTAGCCATGAGTTTGCCTCTCCTCAGGGGCCTAGAGGCTGGCAGGCATACTCACTGGCAAGGCAGTCATCAATGTCCTCCTCGCAGTCCATCCCACTGAAGCCTGGTGGACACTCACACATGTAGCTGCCCTGGGTGTTGTGGCAGAGGCCTTGATTCATGCAAGGCTTGGACACACACTCGTCAATGTCAATGGTACACCGCTGACCTAGGAAGAAGAAAGCTGGTTCTCACAGACATCCAGGTATGCCAGGGTTGAGGTGAGGTGGGTATAGCTACTCCAAGGGCAGCTGGCTGGTCTGCTTCAGGAGTCCAAAGGAAGGCATCTATATGGCCTGGGGAGTTTTGCAAGGGGCTAGATAGAAAGCACATCAGGGTTTTAGAATCTGAGTTTTGGAGTCTTCCAGCCACTAGAGGGCACCACAGACACATAAAGAAGGAAGGTCTTCTGAGCCTTTCCAGTCAACAGCACCCAGGTAGAAAGTTCTTACAGGCAGGACAGGCCTTGGAAGCTCAAGTCCTTCCACGTGCGGCAGTGCAAAATGTGTGTTTATCCTTCTCCCCATGTTCTTACCTCGCCACCCAGGAGCACACAAGCAGGTATAACTCTCAAAATTTGATGCCTCTTTACAAATGGCAGCATTCTCACAAGGGTTTGGGGAACAGGGAGCCAACACAGTCTGACAGTTCTTGCCTGAAAAGCAAGTAACATCATTTGTGATTGGGAACCAGTCAAAGAAAGGACAATTTCCCCAGAGTGTAATCCCAGGAAGTACTCTGACGCCAACTGGAATAAGGAGTGACTGGTTTTAGACTCTAGAGACATTTCATCTTTTCAATCTTGGTCTGACATTGCTAACTTTTCATCTTTAGCAGGTTATTTCTCTTCTCTGGGCTTTCCTCATGAGCAAAGAGTAGCCAGGTATGGTGGTGCACATGTGTACTCTCATACTAGGGAGGCGGCTCAGGAATTTGAGGTCCAATATATAACAAGAGCTTGAGGGAAACAAGCAAAGGAGGAAGGAAGGCAGTGAGGAAGGAAGGGGGGAGAGAGAAAAAATGAACATTAGAATACCATGTACTCAGAGATGATTTTTGAGGACTAAATGAGAAAATGTTCAAGTCCTATGCTGCTAAGCATAGGGCCTGGTGCAGAGCATTAGGCCTCGGCTACTGCTGGTCTGTTCCAACTTCCACTGTGATGATCACAACTGGCTCAGGGATTTTAACATCTGCATAGATCTGATGAGATTGCCTATATCTCCACAGGGTACAGGAGCCCAGCCCCGAAGATGGCCATTCCCCCCAAAAGGCAGTAACTTCCTACATCTCAGGGACCTGCAAGGGTGAGGCAACTGGTGACTGAAAGCTCCAGGGCTCTGTCTCCTCATAGCAGTGTCTGCAGATAGACTGATGCCTGCCTACCAGTACAGCAAACAAATTTCAGAAGAATGTTTGTATTAAAATGATCATCAGGTTGTTTTTAAACTCAAGTCATGACTAACACAGCTTCAAAATTCATACTAAGATTTTTCATTCAGAAAGGAAAAAAAAGCACACATTTTCACCAAATACATCTAAGGGGCTGGGGCTGACCAAGGGAAGTGCTGCATGGTTCCTTTGTGCTGGGCACTGGGACAAACCACAGAGTGCAGTAGGGTACACAGCACTTACCTAGCAAGCTTAAAGTCCTAGGTTTAATCCCCAGCACCCAAAAAACAAACCCAGTAAACGGTAGTTTTATTACCAAAACTAGAATCAGCTAGGCCATCCAAATGACAAGCCAAACTATCAGCTATTCACCAACTTCGAGCCAAACAGATACTACTAATAAAAAAATTTGTTTGGTTGCCATAGCTCACACCTATAACCCTATTTTGGAGGCTGAGACCTAAATTGCAGTTCAAAGCCAGCCCAGTCAGGAAAGTCTGTGAGACTCTTAGCTCTGATCAACCAGCAATACAGTTCCAAAAGTATAGTTCTAGCCTTGAGCTCAAAAACTAAGGAACAGTGTCTAGGCCCTGAGTTCAAGCCCCAGTACTGGCACACACACACACAAACTCAATCACTAAACCTAGGTCTGGAGGGTAGCAGATCACTTGCCTAGTCTGCTAGGATTCCATTCCCAGCACTGAAAACCAAATGGAACACTGAAGTATAAGGGAAGTGTGTGTGTCTCCTGCTGTGATGCTTCTGAAAGACTGGAGTGGTCCTCACAGCAGGGCAGCTTGCCCTGCACACCACCCCACACAATGGAGTCTCTGACATGCAAGTGTTAACTCCCCCAGGGTTCTGCAACACTGGCAGCACCCACCTGTGTAGGGCAGCACACAGTGGCAAGTGTAGCCACTGATGTCATCAAAGCAGGTTCCTTGGTTGAGACAGGGGTTGGAGGCGCACTCATCAATATTCACCTGGCAGTTGTAGCCTACAGGCAGAAAGGGGGAAAGCCAGACACAGTGAAACCTTCTAGAATCCCTTCATGACCTCAATTGCTGACACTTCTCTACCTTTCCTCTGCGCGTGTGTGTGTGTGTGTGTGTGTGTGTGTGCGCGCGCGTACACACACACATATGCACACACTAGCACTGGAGCTTGATCTTAGGGCCTCCTATTCTCCCTTAGCTTCCTCACTCAAGGTTGGTGCTCTATCACTTGAGCTATACCTCTACTGCCTACTTTTTGCTAGTTAACTAGAGATAAAGAGGCTCTCGGATTTTTCTGCCTAGGCTGGCTTTGATCCAGATTCTCAGATCTCAGCCCTCTGAATAGCTAGGATTGTAAGTGTGAGCCACCAGCACCCCGCCCTATTCTCTTGGTGGTAAAATGACATGCCGTAGAAGCTGTACTCATTTCTTCAGGATGCTGGAACACCTCATTCCTTTTGGTCTCAAGATCCTGATATACAGTCAGTCAGTAAATGGTCCATTAGTCAAAAAGATGAAAGGAAGAACAGCCTGTTCTAATAGCCTGAAAGCCTGATCATCCAATTGCAAATAATTTCTCAATCAGGGACCAAGAAGATCAGAAGGTTGGAAAGCTCGTTGCTAGGCCTACTGTTAGGCCCTTTCAATAGGAAGTTTTCAGTCAGAAGAAGGGACAATGTTTTTAATACGTTATGAAAGCTTCTGATCTTTGCCCCTCTCACTTGTCTTCTCACGGTACTGTTCCTGATATCATAAAGCTGTTCCCTCATGATTCAAGGTACCCCATTTACTCCCACTAAAAAAATGGAGGGGGAGTAATAAAGCACTAGTAGAAATAAGATTCTACACAAATATTACACATCTCTGCATCTTAGATGAAGCCCACCACTGCACCTCAAAGCAGAGACCACTGATGGACAGTGGTGGCTCACACCTGTAATCCTAGCTACTCAGGAGGCTAAGGTCTACAGATTGAGGTTTGAAGCCTGGGGAGAAAAGTCCAAGAGTCTCAGGTCCAATTCACCAGCAAAAAAGCTAGGAGTGGAGTCTTTTTTTTTGCCTTGAGCGAAAAAGCTAGGTAAGATTAAAAAAAGCCTCAAGTTCAAGTCACAGAAGAAAGAATGTGACAATAGCAGAAATAACTGACAAGCTAAGAAATGGTTTTACCAAATTTCCCCTGATAGGCATCATTCTAGTAGGCCATGGGGAAAAAGTCTGCATCTAAGAATATCTCATGTGTCAAAGTACTTGCTGGGAGAGTTCTGTTGCATGGACAAAACACATGACTGATCACTAGTACTACCATCAGAATATCAGCAAACGCAGTATTTATCCTCTACTTCTATACTATTGAAATTAGTACAAAAATCACATCTAGGCCAACAAGTTCACAATGAGAAACCTACAGAAAGCTGTATAAGCAGAGTTTTAACTGTGATCTTAAATATTATTCCCTTAACAGCTTACTTTTCTGGCAGGCTGAAAGGAGAAGTTATATTTATGTTTTTATTCCCCAAGTATTAATACTACCTGCTCAGTATGTTTGCTGTATGAATGAATGACAAATAGAAATAAAAATGGACAAGTGAGCCAAGCAGTATGTAACAGCAAGACAACAGACATAAGATGCATTTTGGTTTTCACCTTTGAAGCCCTTTTTGCAAGTACACCTGTATCCATTCACCAGATTATCACACGTCCCTCCATTCTGGCATGGGTTAGAGAGACATTCGTTTCTGTCTACTTCACAGTTGGTGCCAACCCAGCCTGCATCACAGAGGCACTTGTACCTGAAAGAAGATAAAGAGTTTTTGCCATAGGAGGAATAACGCACAATTGAGTCATAGAGTCAATATACTGGAATTGGTGAAGAAATAAGGGAACAGAGAAGTCTTTAAGTGAGCTCATCTCATTTTTATTCTTTTATGGTCTACAATGGATGCATCAGGCACTTGGTAAGAATCATATGAGCTCATCTAGTGTGCTCAGTAAAGAGACTACAGGTTGCTTTCCTGGGTCACTGAGAAGCCAGTAAAACCAATTACAGTGCAATTTCATAGGTAAACAATGGTTTAATCAAATATACTGAGCCAATCCAAAGGGCAGAACTAACATGGATGAATCTATACAGTTTACTTTCTTACATACATTTAAAAAATAAAACAAAAAAACATAGGAAGTGGACCTCTGCTCAAAGTGGCAGAGCACTAGTTTAGAATGGAAAAGCTCAAGGACAGTGCCTAGACCTAGAGTTTAAGCCCCATGACTGAGGGTCCCCTCCCCCTCAAAAAATTAACATAAAAGAAACTTTAGGGTCCCTGGTTTCTTGTGCAAAATAGATAGCAGGAAATAGGTCAGAGATAGATTCTCTGTTTCACTGAAGAACTCCAAGGATCAGATGGCCACAAAAAATTCAGAAAGTATCAGATTTTCAAGCACTTTGGATTTTTGGAATAGACATGCTCAATTTGCATTCAAATAAAATGTCTCTAAGTGATTTAGTCAGACATTTATCTTTCATGAGGTTCCAAGAGAAAACTCACAGAAGAAATAGTATGTGACACAGTAAAAATAATAGTGACAAGAAATGGTTTTACCAAATTTCCCCTGCTAGGCATCATTCTAGAAGGCCATCTGAGCCATACTTTATTTTACCTGAAACACTACTTCAGAAAGCACCCGGGACATTGGGCAGGAAAAGAGAAAAGAACAAAGATATATACGGTCTCCAAAATGAGTGACATTAGTACTTAGCATGTGGTATCATGAGAAGAGGGCCACCTATGAGATCTGTCAGGAAAGGATGGATGGGGAGGGGTTGAGGGCTGCCATACACATTCTTCATTCTTTTACCTGATAGAAGTTTGGCAAAGGGCAATGCAAAATGCTGTTTTGTAACAAGGATATCAAGAGCATAAAACCATATAATGAGACCAAAGGTCACGCTGTGGTTCTGAAAATTACCAACACATCACCCAACTCTAATGAGAGGCAGTCAACCTGCCAAGGTTTCATCAGGGCCATGTCTCAAGTTGGCTGAACCAGTTCTACCCTAGAATATACACAGGTGGATCAAAGCTGTGCAGAGAGAAAATTAGGGCACACCATTCCTTAGAACTCAATCCCATAATAAGTACCAACACACTACTGCCAAAGGTGCATGACGCAGCTTGGCCTCCTCCCATGAAATCCCTATTAATTACATATAGGATAGAGGCAATATTCCTTATCTGACCACCTTGGTCCTCAGTCAGGAAAGGTAGGACAAAGTGGTCATCTGCAAGGCTTTGATGGCCATGATCAAAATGTTCAGTCAAGCCCTGGTTCCCAGCTGACATTTTCAGATGATCATCAGGACCAAAAATCTGAGGGGTTTGGCCCAGCTCAGCACAGCACTGTGATCCTTTGGCAGCTACTCACCCGCTGAGGCCCCCAGTACAGTTGCCATGGATGCAAGGGCTGCTCAAGCATTCGTTCACCCGGGAGTAGCAACTGGGGTGATGGGGTCCTTCTGGACACATGCAGCGGAAACCATTCACATCGTTGATGCAGGTTGCACCCTTGCGACAGGGATTGGAGGCACACTCATCGATGTCAATATTGCATCTTTGCCCTGGAGAGAAGGGAAGGGAGCAGTGCCACTCAAATCCCCTATTCTCAGGGAACATATGTGTTGACGCTCTTCCTCTGCAGGGCCTCTAAGTGCCCCAAATGTCAAGATCTAAGGAATGAGACACTTCAAAGTATTTCATGCCATGCATATAAGGGGCAAAGGACATTGACATCTGACCACAGTGAATGGAACACTGGTCAGTGTTGTGTTGATCTAATGTGTATTTCTACTTCCACTTTGGAAATGGGGAATTTTCACAAGGCATTTTTACTAAGAATGTCAAGTGCTAATGAGAAAGTTGCTCCTCCCAATGTTGTGAATTAACTCTAAAAAGCTTTCTGATACTGGGCACTGGTGGCTCATTAGCGGAGTAGCGAATCCTAGCTACTCAGGAGGCTGAGATATGAAGACTGGGGTTCAAAAGCCAGCCGAGGCAGGAAAGCCTAGGAGACACGTACCTCCAATAAACTTAAAAAAAAAAAAGCCAGAAGTGGTATTGTGGTTTAAGTGGTAGAGTGCTAGCCTTGAGCACAAAGAGGCTCAGGGACAGCCCTGAGTTCCAGCACCAGCACGTGTGTCTGCGTACACACACACACACACACACACACACACACACACACACACACACAAACACACACACACACACACACACACACACGAAAAAAAGAAAGAAAAAGCTTTCTGCTGTCTGCTCCAGACAGACTCATTCATTCATTTTATGCTGGTAGTGGATTTAAGACTCAGGGCCTTACGATCTTGCTTGGCTTTTTTGCTCAAGGCTGATAATTACCAATTGAGCCATATCTCTGCTTCTGGCTTTTTCATGGTTAACTGGAGATAAGAATCTCTTAGATTTGTCTGCCTAGGCTTGCTTTGAACCTCAATCCTCAAATCTCAGCCTCCTGAGTAGCTTGGATTTTGGGCATGAGACACGGGTGCCTGGCTCCAGATTCATTGTTTCCAGCTAGTCAGGCTCTATCTAATTAACTAAAAGGCTTATTAAGTCCATGGAATATTAACTGTGTTTTCACCTTATTTATTTTGGTGCCAGTCTTGGGGCTTAAACTCAGTGCCTGGGTGCTGTCTCTGAGCTTTTATGCTCAAGGCTAATGCTCTATCACCTAAGCCACAGATCCACTTTCAACCTTTTATTTGTTAATTAGTGATAAAGGTCTCCTGGGTTTTCCTGGATGGGCTGCCTTTGAACTGCGATCCTCAGACCTCAGCCTCCTGAGTAGCTAGGATTACAGGCATGAGCCATCAGCACCCACCTATGTTTTCATTTTTAAGAGTTACATTAGCCAATTAACTACCAGAAAACTGAAACTGGTACAGTAGCTCAAAGTGGAAGAGTGCTAGCCCTGAATGAAAATGCTCAAGGATAGCACCTGGGCCCTGTGTTCAAACTCCATGACTGACAAAAAGCAAACAAAAAAGGAAACAAGTTATGATCTGAGGATCAAAGCCAGTTCAGGAAAGAAAGTCCACTCTTATCTCCAATTAACCAGTAAAATAAAATTATAAGTAGAGGTGTGGCTCAAGTGGTAGAGTGTCAGCCTTAAGCGAAAAGTTAAGAGGACAGTACCCAGACAGTGAGTTAAGTCTCTTAAAGTTCTTTTAAATGATATTGCTTAGGCCCAGCTGCCATAGATTTTTTTTTGTGGGTGGAGCCCAACAACTGCATTTAAAAATATGCAAGTGGTCCAAACACTAGATTATAATTTTAGCATTCTCTAACAGTGTAGATGCTAGGAGGGAATGAAATCAAAGTGACTGCTCCTCTTCCAAGACATTCCCTAAGACAACTTGGAAAAACTGTCGGCTTTGGTCTTGCTCTTCAATGCATTAGACTGAATAAAGTAAAAAGTGGGCCAATCATAAAAGTGCTTTGATTTGTTAAGTAAGATTTAAGTATAAGCTGGGTACCAGTGTTTCACACTTAAAATCCTAGCTACGCAGGAGGCTCAGATCTGAGATCACATTTCAAAGCCAGCCAATGCAGAAAAAAAAAAAAAAGACTTACCTCCAATTAACTGGCAAAAACCAGCAACAGAATGGCTCAAGTGGTAGAGCATCAGCCTTGAGTGAAACAGCTAAGCAAGAGCACCAGGCCCTGAGTTCAACCCCCAATACTGGCACATGCACACATACACACTTTAAGTATATATTCTGAAGTGAGATATAATTTTATGTTTTCCTGTAATTCCTATAATGAGTGAAATTAAGCAACTGTTATGAAGGCATTTACAAGTTTCAAAGAATACAATTGTTCTGATTCAGATAAAAAACACATTTTTTAAACTTAAGAAAAACCAACCCTGCATTTAGAACAGGAAATTCCAAATTAAATAGATGTACACCCTTTAAAGTATGGGTATTAACATTTTTCACTCTCCATTGCTCTCTAACCTGTTATTGGTGGTTCTTGTGGTAAAGACCCATAATCTGGAAGTGGTTGCTGTTTTCCTCTATGTGTTTTATTAATAATTTGTTTGAAATACTATTTCTTTTTGGCCTCAACCAGTGATTCTTTGAGATTTATGCCATTGGAACCAAGAAATGAACCACAGTTCTTTATCTATGAAGCCATCCTGGGCTTGCAACCCAATGAAGGATGAAAGAAATCTTTTTTGTTTTTGTTTTTTTGCATGTCTTGGGGCTCAAACTCTGGGCTTGGGTGCTGTCCCTGAGCTTTATTTGCTCAAGGCGAATGTTCTACCACTTTAACCACAGTGGCCCTTCTAGCTTTTTCAGTTGTTTATTGGAGAGAAGAATCTCATAGACTTTCCTGCATGGGCTTGTATCAAAAAATGATCCTCCAATCTCAGCCTTCTGAGTAGCTAGGATTATGGGTATGAGCCACGTGTGTCCAGCTCAAATGGCCCTTTTCATTTTGGGTTCCGTGAAACTATTTCTGCAGATGCCACTCCTTCCAAGTTCTTCACTTCCTTTTTTGTTTGTTGAGTTTCCTTCCTACTTTTCTCCATCCTCCTTCTCCCTCTCCTTTTGGTTTTTTTCATTGCTGATATTTGTTGTTTTTTGAGGCAGATTAACCTGGAACTCACAATTCTCCTGCCTCTGCCTCCTAAGAGCTAAGATTACAAGTGTGAAACTTTATGCTCAGCTTCTTTTAATGGGTGTGGTGCTGGAGATCAAACTTAGGACCTTGTACATGTAAGGCATACATTATACTATTTATTCTCTCATTTCCTTTGAAACTCTTCCCACCCCACTCCTCACCCCCCTCCTTCCCCCGCCAGTCATGGGGCTTGAACGCTGGGCCTGGGCACTGTCCCTGGCTTCTTCAGCTCAAGGTGAGTGCCCTACCACTTGAGCCACAGCACCACTTCCGGTTTTCTGGTGGTTCATTGGAGATAAGAGTCTCATGGACTTTCCCGCCTGGGCTGGCTTTGAACCACGATCCTTACATCTCAACCTCCTGAGTAGCTAGGATTACAGGTATGAGCCACTGGCACTCAGCTTGACACTCTTTTGAGAACAAATCTTAAGCCACCTCTGTAGGTTTCAAGTGCCTCCTTGCATAGTCTACAAATACGCATTGGTGGATACTTCCCACCAAGGCCTGCCGTCACACAGGGTCTACTGAATATTACAAATGCCCAATGCAAGCTATGTACCGAGTGGGGCCCTGCCATTCCTGAAAGGAGAAGTTATCCCATGGAGAACGATGGAATGGTTTACTCTGGTCAAGATGCACCATATTCATAAACTGACATGCTGAACTGAAATCCCTCTGCACGACTACTTAATGATAACAAAAAATTATATATGTATATATATATGGAGAGAGAGAGAGAGAGAGAGAGAGAGAGAGAGAGAGAGAGAGAGAGAGAGGTTTCCCTTGTTTTACACTCCCTAGGTATGTAGTCAATGAACTGGTGTTTCATCAGTGGCAGTCCTAACTCAATCTGGCTGGATAGTAAGAGTGCAGTGCTTAAGTCTTACTAATGCATGCATGTATTCAACAACATTTACTGAGTATCTCCTTTAGCATGACAATACTGAAAGGCTGATTAAGGGAGGTCCCTACCCTCTGGGGATTCATAGACTTCACTGTGCAGGCTGCTAGCTAAGGACACGGCCACATGAAATTCCTCCTTTCAGGTGCTTCATTAGTTAATGAGGGGGATAACAACTTTTTCCTGGGCTGGTGGGAGAATTTAGGACAATAATGCATCTTTGGTGGCACTTTGTAAACTGAAAAGGAGTTTAGGGGAGTACCATGGATCTTTACCCTCCCCCATTTAATTAAAAAGTATTAATAGTTTCTAGAAGAACACAGAATTTAGTCTTAAAAGGAAGACAAAAACAAAATGTCTCCCTTAAATCTTTCAATGTGCAGAGAGAGCATTAAAATAAAACAAGAGAGAAAAAAACCCTCACATTTACTGCTCATGAGTGTATACCACAGTCATCTTAGATATTTTCAGCAGCTGCTTTACAACAAAAACAAACAAGCAAACAAAAAAATCTCAGACCCAGAAAACAGTTCCAAGAACAGAGTAACACCCAGTAACCAAAACATTCCATTTCTTGGTTATGTAGTTTCATGCTACACCTTAAGTTTATTTTAGAATATTTTTAGCCTCTGTCCTCTGTCCTTGACCTTGCTGGGTTTCTAAATGTTAAAAAGAGAAAGAATATGATTCACTGGCATTTCAAAAAAATAAATAAGTCCAGTAGAAACCTTACGTAAACCCAGAAGAAACCACAAGGCAGCAAGGCTGCCTGGGGACTGCGGTGGGAATGAACCTGGGCTCTGGGTCAGCCTGCCTGGACAAATACAGCTTAGCCTTGTGAAACGCTGATTCCCTATCAGAGCCATAGAAAAGGTAAAAGCGAGGACAACTAAATGAGATTTGGCATCCATATTCTAGTACCTCACTCAGAGTAAGTCCTTTAGTACACGTTAACCATCCTCTTTGGGGTCAGCAGGACCCAGCTTTCCTCAGCAGTTTCCAGTACTTTTTCTCTTAATTTTTAAAAGTTATCCTTAAATAGTTGTACAAAGGGGGTTCAATCCAACATCAATTTATGGGTAAAATGCTTTTTGTGTGTGTGCTGGTCCTAGGGCTTGAACTCAGGGCCTAAGCACTGTTTCTAAGCTTTCTGCTCAAGGCTAGTGCTCTTAACACTTGAGCTTTTTTTCCCCCCTTCTTTTTGGTAGTTAATTGGAGCTAAGAATCCTGTGGACTTTCTTGTCTGGGCTGGCTTTGAACTTTGATCCTCAGACCTCAGCCTCCTGAGCAGCTAGGATTACAGGTATGAGCTACTTGGTGCCCCACAACCTTGGGTTTATTTTACAGAAAACATGGACTACTACCTAAAGGAAAACAAAGGTGGCTTTTGGAGGCAATTTAATTCAATAACAGTGATGGAAACTTACAGTCTTTCTAGGAATTCTTCTCAGGTAGCAAAAAATACATAGTCTGCAAACCCTAATTATAGAAAAGTGTTAGGTTTCAGTTTAGGAAGGATCTACAGGCAAACAAGTTCAGGGAAGCACAGAAGCAGATCTCCAACCTCCCACAGAGATCAAGAAACAAGAGACATTGGAAAGTCATTTTCTCTTGGGTACCATTCTCCTAAAGTAAAACCTGTGGATACAAGTAGCGTTACCTGTGAACCCAGGTGAGCAGACACAACTGTAGCGATTGATGCCATCAACACAGGAGCCTTGAACACAAGGGTTGCTAGCACAGTCATCAAAATTGATTTCACAATTAACTCCTGCAAAGAGAAACCATTCCATATTACCACAGAAATACTCTTCTGCTAGTCATGTGATATGTTAAGACATCTCCAGGCAGCCCCAAAGAAAGTGGCAGGGATCTTTTGTTCAAAATGGCTTCACTACTTCCTTCATTGTGCTGACATTCATGCTGATGGGGCGAAGGCCATCAGGTAAGACGGCTCACACCCTGGCAGGAATCTGGGCAGTGGCACTAAACTGGGCTAGCTGTCATGGATACCCACCTGCACATCAATGTCAACTAAGAATGGCTTTTGGTGAAGAAGGTAAATTTTACTAGATCTGGAAATAATTCTAAACTGGGAAGGACACATAAACACACTTCTGCACTTGCAAGTGTGTTTCTTCTCATACTTGTTAGTGCAGAAATGTGCCCAGGAAGCCAGATACCGGTGGCTCACGCCTGTAATTCTAGCCACTCAAAGGCTGAGATCTGAGAATCACAGCTCAAAGCCAGCCTGGGCAGGAAAGGCCATGAGACTCTTAACTCCAACTAACTAGCAAAAACAAAAAACAGAAGTTGTGGCTTGAGAAAAAGAAAAGAAGAAAAAAGCCAAGCAAGAGATCAAGACTCTGAGTTCAAGCCCTAGTACCAACACACACACACACACATACACATACACATACATACACATACACACACACACACACACCTATTTATTATTAATGGCATTCCAAATTTACTGAGATATTATTATGTGCGAAGCACTCTGCCTGCGCTCTCCATTTCTGTTTATTCCTCTTAGCTAAGTTTCAGAGCCGGCTGTGTCACACCCACTTCATGATGGCACAGCTGACCCGCACAGCACTGGTGACAAAGGACAGTTCGGACTGAGTCCTGTCCTCTGCTTCCACAGCTCTATGCTGTTTCCTGCCTGCAATGATGCCTTCCTGTGTTGACAAGGCTAACCTGCCTTCAATAGCCAAAAATGAGAGAAGGATTTCCATACTCTGCTGCATAAATCAGTGCATTTAGCAGATGTGTCTCTAATCTCTGGCTGACAACTTTCCTTACCCCTCAATCCTGGCCCAAGAAGCCCCAATAATTGAATGTGGTAACAGCCCATGGTCATGGTTCCCTTGAGCAGGAAGTGACACCTGGATGCAGCTGAGACAATGAGCTACTGTGCTGAAATCCGACCCGGGTAACCTCTGGTCTACTAACTGCCTGGCTTTGTGCTGTTCTCCCCAAAGCCTTATGATTCTATCCTGCTTAGAAATTCTAAGAGGTTTCTGTATGTCTTCACTAAGTGATTCGGTTGTTGGCTTCTTTCTGATTCTTTAGGCTAGCTCTAGTCTTTATGAAGAATTAAACAGATTACCATCCTCAAAGCACAGACAGATAACACAGAAAGCTCTAAACATAAGCTCTCAAGCCCCACTGCACCCCGTTCCATCCATATCCCCACCCAAACAAGCTACAGCTCAGACCATATTATACATGGGTCTCAGACTCCTGATGCTCATCTCTTCATACTGTCCTGTATGTGGACTTTCCACCCAGATCTCTAGTACATGCCAGCTTCTTCACCACCTAACGCACATCTCTTTTTTGTATGTAGTATGCAGCTCTGACTTCTATTTTTTTGTGAGTAAGCTAGTATTGGGACTGTCCTTTTTGCTTCTTCATTGAAGGCTGGTGCTTTAATAACACTTAAGCCATGTTCCACTTTGTGTGTGTGTATGTGTGTGTGTATGTGTGTGTTTGCCAGTCCTGAGGTTTGAACTCTGGGTATAGGCACTGTCTCTGAGCTCCTTTTACTCAAGGGGACCACTCTACCACTTGAGCCACAGTACCACTTCAGAATGTTTCTGTGATTTAATTGGAGATAAGAGTCTCACAGACTTTCCTGCTTGGGCTGGCTTTGAACTACGATCCTCGGGTCTCAGCCTCCTGAGTATCTAGGATTATAGACATGAACCACCAGCAGCTAGCTGGTTTTAATTCTTCAAACAGCTGCAGGAACATGCCTGGCAGGGTTCCAAAAGATTCTGGGCCTTCCTCTCCAGGCTGCCTGCTGCAACCCACTCCTATTTACTTCTTGCCTTCCAGTGACAGCTACTTACAGTGACTTGTCTACAAAACACACCTGATCTAGCCTGACACACCATGACAAAATCCCAGAGGAAGCAGTGCTTGCCCAGCCATCCGCACCCACACTTCCAGGTTGTCTGTGTAACAGGAGTGACAGCAAAGCTTGAAACCACTCCTGCATTCGAACGGCATCCATTCAGATCCTTATAAATCTCACATTTCTTCTCATACAGCATTTCTCATGTCTGGGGACCGGCCCGGAAGCAAATTGCTTTTGGAAGGTTTCACAAAGATCTATTCAGCCCTTTGAGGGAGTTATCTAAATGTGGGGAGGGGGAAGCACTCTCGGCTGTGAAGGCATGGGATGTTTTTCGTATGCTTGAGCAATTCAAAAAGGACTTTGTTTCCAAACTTGGCATGTGTGAGGGCCTGGAAGAAGACCAGGGCCTTTGACAAGTTTGGAGAAATGGATTTGGAAATAACACAATAAAGGGAGAGCAGCTAAACACCGCCCCCACCTCTGGCCCCCTACACAGGCCATTTTCCTAAAGTCCAGGATGAGCTGGGAATAAATCATCCCTCACACTGGCAGGTTCCCTGCCAGCTAAGGCACACATTGGTTAATCTTCCACTAATACATTTTCCTTTGATCTGGGACATGAGCCACAGTTGTGTCCATAGTTGTGTTCCTCTGATATATAAAACAGAATCCAGTGACCCTGTGAAATGCTGCTGCCTGAGAAAGCAATTGCAAATGTCCCCCAATAAGCCCTCAACCTAATGGGTGCCTTCAACTAGGATCAGGGAATAGCAGTGCACACTGGGAAGGGGCAATGGACACTCACAGCTACTTCACAATCACCATGGTGGGTGGCAAATGTCTCCTCTCCCTCAAATCCCCAAGGACCCGAGGTCCTACTAGATACAGTGAAGAGCAGGCCAGTGACTACAAAACAGAAAAGAAAGTATTGGAAGGAAGGGAATTAGGGGATAAGGACTAAAGGAAGGAAGGAAGAAAGAAAAATTCATTAACCTAGGTGGGGACAGGCTTAGTGGAAAAAAAGAAAATCAATAAAGCCACAAAGATAAGGTGTTCGATTTTTCAAAATATCTTTGAAAGTGATATGATTTCATGAATGCCAAATACAACATTATCAGACTGGGACTCCTATTTTTCCCACTAGCTACAGCTGTCTGCTTAGAGATGTTCTGTTTCTGGCTTTAGCTATGCTTCTAAAAATCTGTATTATTTTTTATTTTTTTCTGTGCTGGTACTAGGGCTTCCTTAGCTTTTGTCCTCAAGGTTGGATTCTACAGTTAAGCCACTTCTGCTTCTTGTTGGTTAACAAGCCTCGCAGGCTTTCCTGCCCCGGCAGAAACAGTAAAACTTAGATCTCAGTCTCCTGAGTAGCTAGAAATACAAGTAACAGCTACGGGTGCCTGACTGAATCAGGACTACTGCTGAGGCATCTAAACTAATGATAGGAAAATGGAGATGTTTGTATAAATTGTGTGGAGATCCGTGGAACACCCAATCAAACAGCCAGAGTATCTTACCTGACGTGCCTGGCTGGCAGTTGCATTGGTAGCCGTTCACCAGGTCAATGCAGCGTCCTTCATTCAAGCAGGGGCTGCTGTAACACTCGTCTATCTGGTCGCTGCAGATGGCCCCCATGTATCCGGGGTTGCAGAGGCAGGTGTAGGAATCAATCCCATCCTGGCACTGCCCATGATGGCAAGGGTCAGGGTCACAGTTGTCGACATTCTCCTCACATAACACGCCAGTAAAGCCTCAGGAAGGAATTTTACCAAGAAGATTCAGAACCAAGGCAGGTACTGCACACTTGAACCCAAAAGACAATTTATCCATTTTTCCCTGCATGGCCTAGGTCTGGGAGAATTATTGATGCCCCTGAATGCTGGGAACTGGCTGACTGCTTTGATTGAGAGCATAAGCTTGGAGAGCAGCGCTCAAAATAAAGATGCCCAATCAAATCTGCAGAACTGAAATACTCTGTGACTGACCCCTGGGTTGACTGGAAAGATGCCTTAACTTTGGGATTCAAAGCAAACAGCTCTCAACATTGATGCCTTCAAAAGCTTATATGTGAATATCTTTCCTGCTGAACCTACCACGACCGGTGCTCATTAATGATTTCATGCAGCTCATCTTCTTAATACTAACTTTGGAGGACACAGAATTTTGTTCTGCTCAATCTCTTCCAGAGGTTTTTAATGCTCCCAGAATGTTTAAATGAAAAAGAGACAAATAAGAAATAACATGCAACTAGATCCACTTCCACCTCTTCCTTCCTGGCTCTTGTGCGCCTCTCCTCCCTCTTCATGTGCTTCCTAGGGTTTTAGTCATTTTTTAGTGATGGCTGTGCTTCATGAGAACAAGCTGGTTGAGCAAGACAAAGCCTAGAGCTTCTCCAATGGAAGGAAGTTCAGAGGTTCAGTATAGTCAACCTCATTTAAGAAGGTCTAGTAATGCAAACATCCATTTTCTTCACAATATTTGTGACTAAGACTGCTTTCCTGTAATTACACAGAAATAGTGAACACAATGTCCCTAGAGTTCTTTGAGAACCCATTTTCTAAAATAAAACAATGTCTTTCATCAATGTGTTTTTCAAACCAGTAGCTCAGCCAAGAACCTGACCCTTTCTCTCTAGCACAGGCAGCCCCTGCTGTTTGGGCACAGCCCCTCCATGCTATCTGTAACAGTCAGCACTTTCCCTAGAAGGAAAATGAGTGGGTGCTTACCTGTGGCACATTGGCATTCATAGCCATTCGGGTGATCGATGCACTTGGCCCCATTCAGGCATGGAGTACTGGAGCAATCATCGATGTCAATCTGGCACACTGGGCCTGTGAAACCTTGAAGTACAGGGGACAGGTACAGGTCAAAGAGTGCTCTGCTTTCCTCACTGAATGGACAATGCCCATGAAGGGTGGGTTATGATGCTGGCAGGGAGGATGCCACTGGGTCGCCAAACAGAAGGGTTCTCCCAGCAAGTGAGTGGAACACCTGGGGAATGTCAGGAGTGGTGCCAACAGCCCTGCTCATTCCGAGCACAGCATTTACTCAGAAGGAAGTGGAGGAATGGAAATGCTGTGTGGAGGTGGAGCACTCAGTGAGTCCTTGGATCCTAACAGGCATTTTCCTGGAAAAAGCTATGGTCTATGGGAAATGCTTAGAGCACTTTCAACAGCAGTACAAGAGCAAAAAGTAGACACAGAAACCAGGGCCAGTGGCTCACTCCTGGAATCCTAGCTACTCAGGAGGCTGAGTTCTGAGGATTGTGGTTTGAAGCCAGCCCAGTCAGGAAAGTCTGTGGAATTCTTATTTCCAACGAACCATCAAAAAGCCAGACGTAGAGCTGTAGGCTCAAGTGATAGAGTGCCAGACTTAAGTGAAAAGGCTAAAAGACAATGCCTAGGCCCTGAGTTCAAGCCCCAGAACTGGTACAAAAAGAAAAAAAAGGGGGGACACAAAAAGACAAAAACTGATGTATGCTGTTTGCTTGACTCAAGGGGTAAAATATCTAAAACAAATGCTCTCACATAGAGGCTTGAACAATATGACCCAGGGGAAAAAAATAAGATCCCAAATCACCTGTAACTCAAGTTTCTATGAGGTGCATGTGCTCTTAAATATGTACCAGACAGAAAAGTCAAGGGCCATTCAGAAATAAACTTGGACAGGGGACTATAAGCGACTTGTAAGCCATACTAGCTGAAACAATCCCCTCTCTGTATACGCACAGGCTCTTACCAACCCTCACTGTAATGGTGTCCGCGTGCGCAACCCATATGCATTTCTCCTCCTCTCTTTCCGGGCACAGTGAGCTTTGTGCTTTATGGGAACACAGGGGATGGGGTGGTACTCACCAGGGGGACACAGACACTGGAAGCGATTGACTTTGTCCACACACTGCCCGTTGTTCACACAAGGGTTACTCTGGCATTCGTTGATCTCCAGTTCACAATGCACACCTTTGAAACCTGCACAATATGGATCCCATGTGTGACTCCGAAGGAGAGAAAAACATCCCAACTAAGAAAGCATAGATATGCAGAGAGGGCTACAATGGCTCTGAGCATAATACTTCTGCTAAGGGAAAGGCTGTGGTCCTGGTAACCAATGGAACAAGGACTGCTGCGAGATCCTTGTTACAGCAGAGGAACAAAGTTACATCTCCATGTAAGATGTGGTGATCCTTGACATGCAAACTACGACTCCTCCACTCTCTCAGCCCCATGCCTCCTGGACAGTGCTGGGCCCAGTGACTCGTTCTTTATTTCTAAAGAATGGTTGAGCTGTTATTGTTCTCAGGTAACAGGTTAAAAGTTCAGGAGGGACCAAAGCTGGAACTGCAGTCCTTCCTTCATCAGCCAAAGAAGATTACCTCAGCTGTCACTTCTGGCTGGATTTGGCTGGGTTCTCTTGAATCCTCAGAGAACACAGAGAATTCTTGGTTGTAGAACAGCTGCAGAACACTGCTAAGCTGGTGCTTTTCTTTGTCTACAGGGCAACTGCCTGCATAATTGTGAGTAAAATCTTGCTTCATAGGTGGAATGGAGTGGTATTTATCATCTCTTTTATCAAGGGACCAGAAAAACTAGCTATTAGAAGGAGGCTAAATGGCAAATAGCTTCTGACATTTTCTAGTACCTGGATCTAGATTCTAACGTGATAAGCTTGTTTAATTTGCTGTGTGTTGCTCTCAGAACTCCAGTACTGCCTTACTCTGGAAGGAAGTGGTATGCCTAAGAGCCTTGACATCCAACAGCACTAGTGAGCATAAGAAAGCAAGCTGTTGGGGAAGGTGGAGTAAAGCCTGCCTCTTAAGCCCCAAGTCCCATGGGCCATTTACCTGGCATGCATAGACATGTGAAGCCCCCGATCTTATCCAGGCAGGTGGCATCATTCTGACAGGGGTCCGAGTGACACTCATTGATGTCCATCTCGCAGCGAGGCCCCGCGTAGCCCTTGAGGCATTCACAATGGAAAGCTCCATCTGTGTTCACACACTTTCCTGCATGCTCACAAGGATTGCTGTTGGCTACAAGACACGAGAGCACCAGTTACCGAGATTCAAGCTTTAAGAATCCAAAAGGGGACTACAGGGAGAGAGCAATGGTACGAAAACATGGCCAGGCCATTACCAAGCCTCTCTATTTTCATTGTCCTCCTTAATGGGGGAGGAGATAAAACTAGGGTACTTGCCATTGCTGTGCCTTTCTGTTATTCTTTTGCTTAAACGATCTAACAATCAAGTCTAGACCCACATATTTAGTTCCCAGAATGGGATCTATGAGCATAAAGGAAAGGCAGTTGTAAATCATGTACATGGAACAAGAGAAATTTGAGGTTTGAGTGTTAACGCACCCTAGAGTGAAATGTGCTTCTGTGTAAACACTTGCTGGGCCAACAAGCTTTTCAAGCTTGGGAAAGGCTGTGTGATCTCACTCACCCATGGCACACTCGTCCACATCTTCGGTGCAGTCTGCCCCCTTGTAGCCCTGTGGGCAGGTGCAGATGTACTGCCCATTCAGGGGGTTGGTGTCACACAGCGCACCCTTGTGGCAAGGATTGCTGATGCAGGCATCATCCAGATGACACAGGAGACCTGTCACAGGGTGGGGCAGAAAAGAAAACAGCTCTCACTTGCAGAAGAGCTTTCCCTCCTCCATGGAGAGGGACCTGATGAGCTGCTCTCCAAAATCTAACATGAAGATTCAGAGGTTAACTTCCCCCTTGCTTGATCTAATGTCAGGGCCATACTGTAGCCATCAGCAAAGCACGGTAGTTGCTTCAGACAACCTGAGTGCTCCAATCTGAGCCCTCAGCCAGGGTTTTCCTCCAAGGCAGACACATGTACAGGCTTGAAAATCAGAGGAAGAATATGGAGAAATGGAGATGTCCTCCAGAGAATGTGCCAGATTTAGCAATTAAAATTGAAGATGCTCCATTAAATTGAGTGTAGAGGGTATAGAGGGATAGGCGTGTCAGGACCTGATACTGGGGATTAAATTCAGGGCTCTATCCCTTAGCTTTTTTGCTGAAGGCTGGTGCTCTACCACTTAAACCACAACTCCATTTCCAGATTTCTCATGGCTAATTGGAGATAAAGACTCTCACAGATTTGTCTGCCCACCCTGGCTTTGAACCTCAATCCTCAGAGATCTTTGCCTCCTGAGTAGTTAAGATCCATTAAATTTAAATTTCTGATAAAAGGTTAATATGTGTTAAATATTGCCTGCATCCTGGGTTTTATCTGGCATCCTCCTTCTCTATCATCATGCTACCTAATGACATGGGCTCAAGTGATCTCCCAAGCCTCAGAAACAATCAGCAACTGAATACCGTCCACCTCTGTAATACTGGCCATTTAATCACTTTAGCATTCCTGGATCAATTGTCATCAGGTCTCTGATGAAACTAGGCTTCCTGTCCTGCAGATTTCCACTGAGAACTGGCTTTTCCAGTCTGTGATTAGCTAATGCTTCTTCCACAAAAATGCAAGTGAGGCTCTTTGAAAGGCAGAAATAGAACATTTCAAAAACAGCTACACTTTTGGAAACTCTTGGGTTCGCTAGCATCTTCAATGACATTTGACCTCAAGAACCACACATTTAAACTGAGAGGCAAGGCTCCCTTTATAGTGATAAAATCTACTGTGGGATATTTTCATAGGTATTGAGGGTTGAAATGCACTTACGTGCTTCTTTTGCCAACTCCTTTGGATTAAATAGATTATTCTTAAAATGAAGTTCAGGAGTTCACTTATTAGTCATCTATAGAGTCTAAATTTCCAAGAGGCTCTTCTGTCTAAGGTCATGAGGAATTCTGCAGATGTGCCTCTAAAGAACAGGGTTACTAGCCTTTCTTTTCTGCAATGAAAAGGAAAAACTATCGAGCTGAGAACATCCTAAGGAAGGACACTCCATAACCTTTGGCTAGCAAGTAACATTTCCTGGATGACAGGTTCCTACAGATGGAAATTCACAGAGCACAGCTACCAGATGCAAGAGAAGGCAGAGAGGCTCTAGATGCTCACTGCCTGCCCCTCCCTTCCCTTTTCTCCAGCTCTGTCAGCTTACCTGCCTTTCCTTCTGGACACATGCAAGAGAAGGAGGCCACACGGTCGATGCAGGTAGAACCTGCAGTGCAGGAGGCAAAGGCACAGTCATCGATGTTTTCACTGCAATCATCTCCACTCCAGCCATTCACACATACGCAGCCATAGCCCCCATTGCTGTTGGTACAGGTTCCTCCATTCTGACAGGCATTGGGTTGCAGCAGGCACTCATCCACATCCTCCGTGCAGAATTGCCCTATTGGAGAAAAAGAAGCTTTGATTAAGCTGATAGGCTGCAAAGGATGAGGACCATGCTAGCTTCTGACATCCTTCATTTTCATATAACCTGCCTGAAAGAAAGAAGAGCGCACAGCAGTCCAGGCTCTCTTGGGAATTTTAAAGTTACCCTCAGCCATGTAAATTATATTTATTCAAGGCAAGTCATTTCAAGAAGAACGGAGAGCACAATGCTTCAGAAGTCTCAGCGTGAGTCTTTAGCCAGCCTAACCAACAGGAGAGAAGTCCTGTAGGGCCCTTGACTCAGCTACATTATTGGGTCATTGACTCAAAACGCAAGAAGAGGAAGGAAAAAAGAGCTTAAGAGAGTAAACAAAAAAAAAAATAATGAAAAGAAATTTAGACTCCTGCATCAAGTATTTAGAGCAACTTCTACATTTGGACTGTACCAGTGCAAGTGGCCTGGCAGTGACATCATATAACAGTTTTGCAAGATGATTTTCTCCAATTAGCTCTGTGTGTATATGTGTGTTAGCGGGCACACACGCACATGCCTGCACACCAGTCCTGGGGCTTTGTGTTCTTGCTTCAGTTTTTTTCTCTCAAGGCTGGTACTCTAAAACTCAAGTTGCAGAGTGTCATACCTCTACTTCTGACTTTTTGGTAACCAACTGGAGATAAGGATCTCAGATTGTTCTGCCTGGGCTGGCTTTAAACCACCTCATATATCATCTTCCTAAGTAGCTAGAATTACAGACATGAGCCACCAGTGTCAGGCTCTCAGATTCATTCTTATAACCTTATGCATGAAACTATAATTATCTTTCTTTTTTTTTGGTCGGTCGTGGGGCTTGAACTCTGGGATTGGGCACTGTCCTTCCGCTCTTCAGCTCAAGGTGAGCACTCTACCACTTGAGTCACAGCGGTTTTCTAGTGGTTTATTGGAGATAAGAGTTTCACAGACTTTCCTGCCCAGGCTGGCTTTGAACCGCGATCCTCAGATCTCAGCCTCTTGAGTAGCTAGGATTATAGGCATGAGCCCGTGGCTACGAGTGCCCGGCTGAAACTATAATTATCTCAAAGACTATACTTTAAAAGTTAGGGAAGCAAGTATATATAGAATAAGGTAGAAACAATGAAAAGTCCTAACGAAGTGTGGATGTAAAAGGCAAGGCCAATAATAGGAAGAATGGAGTAACATGTTCTCAGCCTGAGGCAGAATGTCTCTCTAGTATAACAGGAGATGGGAAAAGAACTGTTTTTCTCTGTATATACATGTATGGAAATGCTTCATTGAAACCCCCATATGGTACATTATGTGCTAATAAAAATGTGGGGAAAGAAGCACACTGAAGGATAATCAACAGGAGATTTCCTAAGGGGGCAGCCATGATGGGATAGAACAGCATCCTTAGCAAAGAATAGAGTATAGGTTACTAGGTGCCAGTGGCTCATGCCTATAATCCTAGCTACACGAGGCTGAGATCTGAGGATCATGTTTCAAAGTCTACTGTTCTTTTTTTTTTTTTTTTTGGTCTGGTCGTAGGGCCTGAGCTCTGGGCCTGGGCACTGTCCCTCAGCTCTTCAGCTCAAGGCTAGCGCTCTACCACTTGAGCCACAGCACCACTTCCGGCTTTTTTCTTTTTGCTTATGTGGTGCTGAGGAATCGAACCTAGGGCCTCAGGCATGCAAGGCAAGTGCTCTACCACTGAGCCATCTTCCCAGCCCAAAGTCTACTGTTCTTAAAGCCCCACTGTCTTTGATACCACTTTATGTCATGGCCTGGGCACTATCCCTTAGCTTTTTTGCTCAAAGCTGGAGTTCTACCATTTGAGCCATACCTCCCCTTCTGGCTTTTCACTGCTTAATTGGAGATAAAAGTTTCACACACTTTCCTGATTGGGCTATCTTTGAACCATGGTCCTCAGATCTCAGTAGTAGGATTATAGGTGTCCAATAGGCTTTCTTGATTTTAGATGAGCTTCTGCCAACTACAACCCAAAGTACTAATACCAAGTAAGTGAAGGGGGAAAGCTAAGAGGAAGGGAGGGGTTGAGTGAAGGATAGGAAGGAATGAGTGAATGAATGACCAAAAGAGGAAGGAAACTAGGAAGTGGGAGAGGAAGAAAGCAGGAAGACAGTGAAGGAGTTAGTGACCTCAACAGCAATCCTCTCCCTCCCCACCCCCCCAACCAGGGGAGATGATGTCATTTTTTATTACAGAAAACTTTGCTTCCTTACAGTGCTAACAAGAAATGCTACTTCAAAGAATAGCAGCTATGTTATTAGGATACAGGTACAGAATAAGAAGTAGGCGAAGAGCTGCTGTAACCTGGGGTATTTGCTGAGTCTTCTTCGTATACTTAGTCTACCTCAAATATCTCTGCTGCCCTTGAACCACACTGACTTGCAGAATTCCAGCATATTAGATGCTGTTTTTTTTTACTATGGGTCTGTGATAAATCAGAGTACAAAACTGTTGAAAATGACTTATTTAAATTCTTTATGTATTATAATACCTGAAATAGTGTTGAAAGATAGCCTATGGAAACAAATAAATAAGTATTCTAGGTAAAATAAATATTTCCCTGGAGGAAAAAGCTGGCACTCTTGGGAAAAATCAATAAGACTACAAGTTGACTACTAGGAGGCAGGGACTGTGCTTGGGGCTATGATAAAATTGATCTCATTTACAGTGAGGAAACAAGAGAAAGAGATAAATTTAGCTTGCTCTCTAAGGCAATGAGAACAGTGAAGCTGAGATTTCAGCCAGGCTGACTCACTTATAACAAAGACTTGAAAAATATTATTCTTATTTTTTGGTGCCGGTATTAGTTCTTGAACTCAGGGCCTGCGTGCTATCCCTTACCGTTTTTTATCTCAAGTATGGCATTCTATCACTTGAATCCTATCTCTACTATGGCTTTTGTTGTTGTTGTTAAATGGAGCTAAAAGTTTCATAGACTTTCCTGCCAGGGCAGGCTTCAAATCATGATCCTCAGATCTCAGCCTCCTGAGAAGCTAGGATTACAGGCACAAGCCACCAGTGCCTCGCACAATGAACCCTTTTCCTGTAAGGTTTAGGCACATTTCCCTAGAACAACATTGTCTCCTAGTTTCCCTCTTACAATCCCATCAACCAACAGTAAAATTTATCATAAGGAGAAGAGAAACTAGGGCAGTTACTGGAATTGCTGCCTCCAAAATGCACAGTAAAACCTCTGCTAAGGCTCTTAGCCCAAGAGAAAACCAATGCAGATGTCTAAAACAAATAAGGCTCAGAAAGGTAAATAACCTTCCTTCACAAGTTCACAGGGTTGGTGAGTGGGAGGACTGTGATTTAAACCAACTCAGCCCAACGCCAAATCTGATGCCCTTTTACTGTGGCGCGGCTCAGTGTCCAGCTCTAGCCTTGGCTAAGATCCACTGGGCCAGGTCTCTGACCTCAGATCTTAAAGTACTCTGAGAAGGCAGAGACGCCAGAGATAATTAAAGAATACTGTTAGGCTAAAGTAACAAAGACAGGACTATCACATGGAATTAGGATCGGAAAGCTCTCAGCCATCTTCTGAGGACATAAGGTGTGCTCTAAACTAAGGCCTAAGGCTTTTGCTAGTACTCTATGGCAGGAAAGCACAAGGCTGAGGTGGAGACAGGAACGTAGAGTTGGGTCCAGAAGGCTGTAAATGACTACACCATATTCTTTGGCAAGCGTTTAAAAGAAGAAAAATCAAGCCAGGTGCAGGTGGCTCATGCCTCTAATCCTAGCTACTCAGGAGGCCAGGATCTGAGGATTGCAGTTCAAAGCCAGGCAGGAAAGTCCAAGAGACTCTTATCTCCAACTAACCACCAGAAAACCAGAAGTGGTTCTGTGGCTCAAAGTAGTAGAGTGTTCACCTTGAGCTGAATTGCTCAGGGACAACACCCAGGCCCTGAGTTCAAGCCCCAGAACACACATACATACATACATACATACAAACAAACACCACACACACACTACACACACACACACACACACACACACACACACACACACACACACACACACACACACACAAAGGAAAGTAGGGGATACACAATCAACACTGCCTTTAAAAATTAGTCAGATGCCAGATGCAGATGGCTCACACTTGTAATCCAAGCTATTCAGGAGGCTGCAATCTGAGTATTGTGGTTTGAAGCCAGTCTGGGCAAAAAGAAAAGGTCAGTGAGACCCTTATTTCCAATTAACCAGCAAAAGATCCTGAAAGTGGAAGCATAGCTCAAGGGGCAGAGCACCATCCTTTCATGAGAAAGCCAAGTGAGAACTTGAGGCTCTGAGTTCAAGCCCCACGACTGGCGTATGTGTACACATGCACACGCATGCACACACACACACACACACAGATTAGTCACAGTACCCTAGAGGGGATGGCAGGCCGATGACTGTTAGTAGGAGAGTGGGAGAGAGGTTATGAGCTACCTAGCAAATAAAAGGGAGAGGCAGAGAGGCGTGTTGCTGCTGTGTCCCACCAAGCTACTCAATCTTCAAGGCTGACGAGTCTCCACATGCATCATCCTCTGTGTCAACATAAATCACGCTGGTGAACTCCCAAAATAGGTTACACAAAGCGCAATTAGGCAAGCTTTCTGAGGACAGTAATTATTCTTCCTAGTAACTGCCCTTTGCGGATCTTGCAGACTACTGCCATTTAACACAGGAACAAGGCAGGACACTAGTTAGGCCTTCTCTATTTCCTATGGGACAATACCTTCTCCAATGCCACAAGGGATTTAAACAGTAAGAACCACCTGCAGCTACTGACCATCTTCCGGCTTATTACTTTTCCTTATAAATATCTTCAGTTCCACATACTTCTCGTTTACATGCTTGTCTCAAGCCACAGTGTTTTCTCATTGGTTTATCTAATATTTAATTCTTTCCTACCTCAGTGCCTTTGCATATCCTGCTTTCTCCATCTACTCTAATTCATATGGCTAGTGATCTCTCATCTTTCAGACCTCTCATAACTGAAGGAG